TTTGCCAGATTTGGCCTAACAGAAGAAGACCAGACAGTTTTACATATTTTCCCAAAGGCTGGTTTATGCTCTTTTTTAAAAACGTATGACTGTTTCCCACGGCTAAGTTAGGACATTTTCCCACTGTCCTATGTGGACGATGTATTCTCTGATCAAGTGCTTAGCTCCGGCCCAAGCATCTGATGATATATGGGAGTGCAAAGTATAAAAGGCTATCAATATTATTCATTACGAAAAAATGGAATGTTTGAAAAATAGTAAAGTGCCGCTACTCTGACAATGAAAAAAAAAAAAAAAGTTAAAGTAGTGGGACGCTTGAAAAATAATGTTTATGCCACTACTCTGACATTTAGACGTCAATGTATAAATGTCTAAAGCGCCATGTCGGAATAGCAGCATGTAACCGGGCACAAGTGAGTCTGAACAAAGCTCAGGTGAGGGGAACAAAAAACTTATGGATGGTAGCTTTAATTCTGTTGTTTTGTGCAGCGTCTACAACATGTGATCCAGATGTAAACTGGAACTACATTAAGACCAAACCATGTATAACCTGGGACAAAAATGGGCTTGAAAGAAGTCACATTCATGCAGAACACGCTAATCCACACAGACCAAACCACAGCAGTGAATAGGCCGGACATAATGCTGTAAAACAAGACAGACAAAAGTTGCCTCCTCATAGAAATAGTTGTGGTTCTTGACATCAACACATCTGTCAAAGCTGAAGTTGAAGAGAAGCAAATAGAGAGATGGAGAGAATGTGGGGACTAAAAGCATCACCTGCCCTGATCATTGTAGGAGCTCTTGAATCCATAAAAAAGGGAATGGACAAGAACACAGAGAAAATACCAGGTAACGTCTCTATATGAACTCCAAAAAAACAACCGTCCTCGGAATAGCACATGGAATGATGTTGAGTGAGAAGATTTTAAGCCTAGTACTAATTCTACCTTTTAGATTTTTGAAAAGTAACTCAAATTATATTTATACTGTATTCTAGGAACAATAAAGTTGTGGGATCTTACCATAAAGCAGGTAGAATGAGAGTATTCCAGCATCCATCGTTTCAAGATCATATATTTACATCTCCACATGGAAAATGCAAGTAGTAGTAAAGTTTTTCAAACACAAATTTTACAAGTTACAATTAGACTGTACTTACATCATGAGAGCACTGAATATGAGCTCACCAGTTCCCGCTCTTGGGTTTATTCTTCAGGTTGCTTTGCACATTTATTTGCAAGGAATTAACTAACTAGTTTACTAACCAAATCTGTAACATTGGCTGAAAAACAACACGTCACTACCAAATAATCCTACTTTACTGTTTTTAATAAGAACTCAAGAACTGAATGTACAGAAGACGACAAAATGAACAATGATTGTTAGTATTTAGGTCTTGTTTAGCCAGACATTTAAAGTACCCATCACAGGTTGAGCTACTAAAACACAACTGAGATTTTACTAAAAAATGTTATCATATTTTTCCTGGCTTGGCATTTTTTAGGTTTAACTTTTTACTTCCTGGAATCGTGACGACACACTGTTACCTTGCAACCATGTAGTACACTGGGCCAAAACTCCTCTAATGCACACAGAAGTTAGTTACTAATATAATTATAAGAAAACATCTTTAATTTGTAGAAATAATGTTTAAAGCATCATAAAAAATGTGTTACTATCGTGTAAATTGTGTCCTCTCTGGCCTCTGCTTTCTGTAGTATATTATTTCAACTTTTCTTTCTGAATTCTTTCTTGATAAATGTAAAACTATCATTATATCTACAACACGTAACCTGTCATGTGCACCTATGCAGAATCAACTTTGATAGATTCCTTACACTAGGAACAGTGTGATTGGTCTAATAGGTATTGGCAGAGGCGGTGTTACCATTAGGCAAAAGTACGTGGTTGCCTTGGGCCCCCAAACCTGGAGGGGCCCCCAACCTATTGCCCTCAGTGCCACTAATGGCCGAGGCCTCTGAGCAGTTTGATTTTCTCTTAATATGACATTAAATGAGAGTCGTTTACTTTTAAACAATAATCATAACAAAAATAATCATATGTAATGGATGTAAACAAAAATTTTATTGTACCAGCAAAAAAAAATAAAACTACTTTCAGTTCTGGTTATCTATTAGGCCACCGAAATAATAAGACAAGTTTCCAATCCACAATAATTCAAATACATAGAGATGTGCATGTCTCAAGAACAATGGGGAAAAACAGACAAAAAATATATGTAAAACAAAACTAAACTAAACAGAAAAGGGGGGGCATTATAGTGAGGACCCCAAACTTAAGTTCGCTTAGAGCCCCCAAACTGTAAACTCCGCCACTAGGTATAGGCTCACACTTACGTCCCAAACCAGGAAAACATTTGGAAAGATGCGATGACAACTTCCGATGTAGTTACCGACACTGGGCCCGACTGTGATAAAACCCACTGAAGTAAATGTGATCAGCGGTAAAATGAAGACTGCATACATACGTGCTGTTTAGAATCATCTTGAATTTGGCGCCTCGTCTCTTCTAATCGCATGTACCCAGAGTGCTCGGAGTTGTGTGTCAGTGGGCAAATGATAAAAACTGAGGTGTGGTTGTAACTGCTGATTACCTGAACATAACGGAACACTTCAATGACATTTCCGTGAAGAAAACTGGGCCTGGGGAAGTTGTAATTGCTTATTTACAAACGTCTTCCTGGTTTGTGACGTAAGCATGAATAGAGCCTATTCACACTTCAGCCTCCGCTCCTGCAGCCTGGTGTTTGTGACCAGAAACTACTGTCTGCAATCAATTTGTGATATTACCAACTACAGGGAATTGAAACGGCCACTGAAGGCAGCACAAACTCAGATTTTAGCTTATTTTTTGGACCAGAAGCTGCAAATTCACCTAGATTGCCCAGGAGCTATAGTGTATATGGTGGTATAAATATGCACATTTTAGTAGCAAAACCTTCTATCTTTTTATAGTATTCCCTCACCCTCAATGCTCTGATGTAATTGATTGTATACAGTGCTGGGCTCAATTTAATTTCCCTCCAGCAATCAAAATACACTAGACGGTTCGCAAAAACCCTGAAAGTGCAAGTACGCGCACCAACCAATCAGCGAAGATCCATATATGTTGTCAGCGACTCCTGAGATCAAGGATTTAAAGCTAGAATAAAGAGAATGTTTGGTGAATTTCATCAAGGGGAAAGACGTTATTGCCCTTCTTCCTAAGGGATTTGGGAAAAGCTTAATATACCAGTTAACCCCGTCAGCGGCGCATTACATACATCACGACCAAAGAGCAGCAATTGGTTAAATTAAAAAAGTACCCGCCTACTGTCGAGTGAACGAATTCTAACACTGCGAGGTCAGACGCTGATGAATCAGGCTACTGGGAAGTAACATAAAAGAAGTGAAAATTCATATTCAGATGTTGGAATTCTAATTCTAAGTATCTGTAGCCTGTGGTGTGTAAATGTGGAGCATTTTCCGTTTCTAATTAATTGATAAATGCATCAAAAAGGTGAAACAAACAAAAAGTTGTTTTAATCCTATGTTGCATTTTGAAACTATAATGCAACTCAACTCAAAATACAGTGTTATGATTGAGAGAGAGATAAGGGCAAAACAGGCAGATTTCACTAACAGCTTAAAATGATAGATATTTAATGCACTGTGCTACACTTAAAGTTATATTATAATATAAATGATACTTCTATGGGGTATTCATTTCTAACACAAAACATATTTAAATCACCATGTCACCTTTGATTGTTTAGAAAATGCTATATTTGCCAAAAACATAACATGTTTAATACATAAAGGCTTGGAGTCCCCCCCTGCCCTTGTTTCTCCGCATCACTGCCCCTTCAGAGCACTATTACAAGCTCACAACACAATTGGTGATGTGCATTTCTTCCCTAACAAAATGACTGCACATCACATCAGGTTTGTGAAGTTGTAGACTACTGATTTATGTCCTGTTTTTGTATATTCATGGAAATTGCCGTACAGGAGCATGGGTGACGTAGGCCTGTGAGCAGAGTGTAGGACAGAATATTTATATACTGGTAACCATAAGAGGAGATCACTAGATCACTTAAACATGCATGGTACTGACTATGTTTCAATCCAGGCTCAAAATGATTCTGTTTAGCTATGCATATGACTGAAATGTTTTTATTCTACGCACTTCTCTTTTAATGTAAATTTAATGATGATTTTTTTGTTTGGATTTGTTTTTGTTGTTATTTTAATGACGTCCTTATTCTGTAAAGCACTTTGAATTGCTTTGCATTAGGGCCTGTCTGATATTAGCCTTTCACTTTGTTTCACTTCATTTCATTTCATAGAAACCATCTGACCTCGCAGTGTTGAAATTTGTTTACTCAACAGTAGACGGGTACTTTTTGTCATTTAACCAATCGCTGCTATTTGGTCGTGACGTATGTAATACGCCACTAACAGGGATAACTGGTATATTAAGCTTTTCCCAAATTCCATAGGAAGAAGGACAATAACGTCTTTCCCCTTGATAAAATTCACCAAACATTCTCTTTATTCCGGCTTTAAATCCTCGATCTCGGGAATCATTGACAACACAGAATGTATGGCTCTTCGCTGATTGGCTGATGCCCAAACTTGCACTTCCAGGGTTTTTGCAAACAGTCTAGTGTATTTTGATTCCTGACCTAGTTGCTGGAGAGAAATGAAATTGAGCGCCGGCCTGGCTAGTCCGATATATCGGTTGGATTGATGTTCTCGGGACTTGGAGACATATTGTCTGTCAGCCTAAATCTTGCCGATATGGGCCGATAGTCCACGTGGGCATGTTATACCTCTTTATCAAGCTTAGACTCGCTGTATTATGTCCATTTAATCCTATTTACAGACAGATAAATGTAATATTGGATGCAAAAAAATCCATATCGGTCGGGCCCTACTTTGCATTTGAATTGTGTAAATAAATATGCTTTGCCTTGCCTACTTATGGGACGTTTTTGGTTGGTGCCTACTTAGAAGCAGGTTTCGGTGCCCGGCCCTATGGATGATATATTTAACCACTTCAGGGATGTTTTTGATTAGGGAAAATTTCTAACTTGGTAGAAATCCTGTGAGTATCACCGATTTAGAAAGTAATGCAAACTGTCCTTCCCAACGTGGGCTAGATTTAGAACTTTGCAGTGCAGACATCATTCAAAGATTTCTTCTCTTTTTTTGATGGTGGGGTTCTCCAACTTGGTGAGTAACCAAAGCCAAGATGATTTTCTACCTAAAATCAGCAAACCAAAATAAATCCAATCAAAATTAAAATAGCAATACATTTGCAATAAATGCTGACATATTATAACGTATGTACTTGCCGTAAACTTACCTCGTGTAAAAATTTGTCTCTGTTTGCAGTATCGGACATGCTGGCTGTTGTCTGGAGTGTCATTTTTACATTGGCACTGGTTGTCACAACTAGAAACAAGAAAAAAAAAATGTTTCTGAATGTTTAGGGGTCCATTTACAAAAACAGATAAATGCCATACACACATTTGTAACTCATAACGACTTGTAACTAAAACTTTATAGTGATATCGGTTGCTAAGGCCAAATCTAATGCTGACATAATTATTCCTCAGAGTCATTCACTGAACTGTAATGACAATTTTATTTCTGAAATTATTAATTTTGTGGACAGATAAAATGAAAATGAATGAAATGTGTAAATGCGGTGGGGGATTATGTGAGAGGAGGTATATTTAAAGTATGAAGAGCTCGGGGCAGAGAACCAAACCTTGAGGACACCTGGAGTGAGAGGAGCAGAAAGAGATTTGAAGTGGTTAATGTCGTAGGACGATATCAGACATTATGAAGATTGGGATTAGAATATGGAGGATCTCGGTGAAGAGCATGAAGGTGGTGAGATGGTGAGTTAGAGAAAGGACCTTCCACATTTATTAGGAATAGCTCCTTTAGAATAGGCCTGTCATGATAAGAAATTTTGAAGTGTGATATATTGGAGAAGAAAATCTGATTTGAAACAAACTGCTAAATTTACAATATTAAAAATAAATAAATAAATAAATAGCATAATGAAACAGATTGTATTTTTATATCTAAAGTGTTTTATTCAATCTTCTTCAGCTAAAATCTCACAATATTACAGAAAAATGACAAAAAAAAAAGATGATAAATATTGAGACAAAAAATATTGTTTTATCTATCATTTACTGAACGGTAAGTTGATATAGTATTTATCGTGACACGCCTACTTCAGAGGTATCATCTTGTCTTCTATTTTGTTGCAACCTGAGTCAGTTGTAGATTTGTTGATTTTTTTATTTTTTTTTACATTACTTTTACATTTTGCAAAAGAGCCCTTCAATTGCAAAAAAGGGTAGTACTTTTAAGACCTTTATATTACCTGCATAGCAGACAAATGTATACTTCAGGCTACAGGGGGCGTCATTCCAAACATAGGATGAAGTCTGGCTAGCACAGAATTCTGATCCGCCGCTATTGCTTGGTTGCCCTGAGGCCCAGTTTCTGTATGTACTTAAGCTGCCGTTGGACCACCTCCAAGGGATTCGGTACAGGCCGATCCACATAGCGGATGTTGTGGTTGGAAGAAGGTTAGTCACAGCTTGGTTTTCAGCAGAACTCTCGATCATGGCCAGGTCGTGATGGTTCTGTCTGCAGTAGGACTGGGCGTTGGACCAGGTCATTGGACTAGTGATCAGAATGTACTGTTTGAGGCCTGATGGATCAACTGAAGAAACAGAAAATGATAATGTAACTTACACAAACGCAAATGTCCATAGCTCAATGAAACTCACCATCGTAACAAAAGAAATATAATGAGGAAGCACAGCCTGCATCCAGCCATACACCATTTCGAATGAAGACACACCATTCTTTTCCTTGATAATAATTTGGTTCACCAGGCGCCCAGCTCTGGTACCCTCCAGGAAGAAGACCAGTAGAAGACCATCTCCAGGAGTTTGAGTCAGACGTCATCACCCCTTTCCATGAAGCAGGGTCATCAAACAGTCCGATCCAGGCCCAGGTATTATAAGGTATTTGTAATTTCATCACCTCCTCTTCGTTTTCTAGTGTGGCCAGATCAGTGTAGTGCTTTCTGCAGTATTGTCGAGCCTCATCCCAAGTCACTTGTACGTTGACAAAGTAGTATTGAATCAGACAGTGCACAGAGATGGTTCCTGGTCATTTGGGAAAAGAAACATTAGTATGTCACATTGTGGCATGTTAAAGATAAAGTAGGATGCAGTTATAAATAGGGGTGTAAGGATTTCCAAGTCACATGATACAATATCGTCACGGTATGAACCTCACGGTACGATATTTATTGCGATATCGTGGGAAAGCTCACGATTATGGATGTAACAATGTCCAAATCTCTCAGTATGATATTTTCATGATATACATCTCACAGCACAGTATTTATTGGGATATTTTTTGGAGGCTAATATGCAACTTTTTCCTCTTAAAATGCCTTGACAAGACTTAATCCAAAGAACTAAGACTTAAAAGTGCTTAGAACTGTTATTTCTTTTTGTAGTCTACACTGAAATGGAGCAAAGGATCATGGTCTATGTAGTTCCCTCTGTCTCTTTTTTTTTAAGCTGTTGCTGCACCATAACTCTTAATTTAAGCAAAGAGACTTGTAATTCAATATATTATGAGGGTCCATGATATTATTGTGAGAACTTTGACGATACGAGATCACGATATTTCAGTTATTGTTACATCCCTAGTTATAAACCATTTTAATAGCTACAAAGAGAGACATGTCTTACAGTAAAATAATGTTTAGGACTGCCCAGAGGTCACTATCCATCAAGCAAAGATTAATTGTTACAGCTTTGTCTTCAGTCAGTTGTTTATGGAGATGAAATGTTTGGTCACAACCGGGCGTGTGGAGGTCTGGCCGTATTTGTGTAAGATGTTAAGATGTTAACAATGATAGATAGCGGCCAGCTGATTCCATACACACAACAACCAATCAATCATTCACTGTTAATAGACACATCAAGAATCTCGGACTTCCGGTCATTGCGCAATGCATACTGGGAAGGATTTTCCGAAAAAGTGAGCATCAAACCGCCATGTTTGATTTTACAGTGGGAAGCGTCTATTGTCAAAGTCGATCTTTTCAAGTCTGTTGAACCATATCACTTTTGTTTCTGGTTCTGATATTGTCATATTTTAGTTTTGGGATTCGGACATTGTAATAGTGTGGTTGTTGGATCCTAACAGCGGAAAACGGCTCGAGAACTTTGTTTGTGAACTCCATAGATGCAAAAGGGAATCAGATGTGTGTGACTGCAAACCTCCGTTCAAACTGTTTCCCTTCCCAACGGAATTGAAAAATAGTAAAAGGCGAAGGCGATGGGCAGTATTGATCCACGGGAAGGACGAAAAAGGAAACTTTTGTCTGCTTAAATCACAGGTGTCAATCATAAGGCCCGGGGGCCAGATCCGGCCCTCCAAGACCTTTAATCTGGCCCTCAGCTGACTTTCTACTAAAATATTGTAATTATATTTTCTATTAAAATATTGTTAATTTTCTGTGGTGCTTATCATATCAGTGTCTCCAGCGTCTGTACGTGGCCCCTCCCACCAGAGCAGCACAAATGAAGACTTGTCTCTTTCCAAACGCTCTTAAAGGACGATCTTTTTGACTGTTGATCGTGACACCCTCATCAGCAAAATGTCAAAAATGAGAAAAGTGGAGCCGAGTGCAGGATTTTCCAAGAAAAATTAACTTATTCCTGTTTACATACAAGTTCATGTTAAAACATTGTGTTGAAATGGTATTTTTCTTAAAGTTTCAGGTTGTTCATAATATTATAATATTTTGTAAAAGATAGAGTTCATCAATTAAAAAAGATTTCTGTAATAGATTTGTGTTTCTCTGCACAAATATTTAAACTTATTGTTATTTTTGGGGTTTATATGACATGAGTTTTCTGATCTGGCCCCTTTGAGGTCAAAGTAGGTTGGATACGGCCCCCAGACCAAAATGAGTTTGACACCCCTGGCCTAAATCATCCCGAGTTTGCAGCGAACATTTGTGTTGTTTTGGAAACTTGTTTATGTGACACATTTGACATTTTCACTGTTTTGATGATTAAAATGTTTGTGTTTCATTTTAACTTTGCACAAGAAGTGGTTTAACAAAGACTTTTAGAATCACAGTCATGATTTAGACTTTTTTATTGAACCGTATCGAATAGTGAAATATCTCGTATTGAATCGTAAGCGCACTGTATCGAGGTATGTATCGTATCAGGTACTTCTTAATGATACAGCCCAGCCCCAGTTGATATCATACTCTCAGATGGGGACAAGAGCCAGATTTTCCTGTGTTTACCATGAAATATCTAAAAGGTAAATTCACAAATGTTAAACCTGTTCTTTTTTACTGTATATATATTTACGACTGTGTATCTAACTTCCAACTCCATTTGCTAAAATTCACTTACCATCACCATTATCCATCAAACAATTTGTCTCAAGACTGTAATTTACAATATAAAGTTGTGAATTCTTACCAGAAAGCAGGTACAATAAGAGAATTCCAACATACATCTTCATCCACACAGTAGGTTTATATCTGTTTCAACACAAAAAATTTGACTTCACAATAAAGATTAATGAATCCAAAATGAGCTTTACTTTTAAATGAGAAGATTGATCAAGGAGGTCATTAGAGCCAGTCCCAGATTTCCCGTCAGCTGCTGTCGCTCAGACTGTTTTGCACATCTATTTGTTTGTACAGCTCATATTTTACTATACAAATCTGTAACTCGTTTCCATAGGGGTGGTATGGGGCGGTGCAGTTCTTCGAAATCCTCACCTGGATCGTCCATGAGACCAGGCGGCTGTAGCTGAGGAGGAAGAAAAGGTTCAACAGTTCATGATCTTGGACACTCCACAGCCAGGTGTCTCAGGTCACGCAGAGTCCCGGTGACAGGACAGGTCTCACGTTCATTTAAAGTGTTGCATTGAATAAAACTACATCAAAATTTGTGAATGCATCGTCCTGTTTCCCCACACACCACATATAAAGTTTACTATAAAGTTTACAACCTTAGCCCTCATCTGTGGTGAAAATTACTTTTAGATCATCAAGATTGTGCATCAGTCATGTGCCTGTGTTGTGTTGTGTCTGTCTGATTTGAAGTATATGTGAAGATATAAAAGCAGAGTGGTGTCACGTTTCATCAAAAGAGATCAGGTCCAATCAACTGTCAGTCCATCCACGAAGGCGGGTGAAGGCGGCTGCAGTTTGCTTTTTTCACCTTCACTCACCTTGATCTCATGACATTACCCGTGACTATGCAGCGGTGACGTAGCCACATCTTAAACACACCTAATAATACAACTTGGGAGTTGGGATGTCACATGACCCATGAGCTCCAAGTATGTCATTACTTCTGTATCACTGACAATATAAAATTTAAACAAAGACAACCGAAACCATCCTGTTGGGATTCAGAAAAGCCAGGAATAATTACCTGGTCCCCGAAGGGTTGACCAGGTTTTGTATTCACCCTGTGTGTCTGTGTGTCTCTCCATCCGCGATAATTCCACACACATTACCGGGGTATGAGCTGGGCTGTTATAGGTTGATCAGAATTTTATATTTTGATCATCTGAGTACAGCACTGTGGGTTGGGATAGGGGGTAGGGGAAAACAGATATTTGAGCGCTCAAACTTCATTCATTCAGGATTATTCAAACATGTATTAATCACTTAAAATACAACTCTGGGTAAGTAATGAGGAAAAAAACAACTCAACATAGCTTAAAATCTAATAAAATATGATACTGCAGAATTTGTCACCTTTAAAAAAATATAAAATAAAAACATCAGAGACACAGTTGAGTTCTGTTGAAGCGACACAGCCTCTTTAATAGCATTTGGAGTGAAAAATTACACTTAAGTTATTAAAATCAAGTTTGTCTTTTGAAATAGAGCACAAGAAAACAACATGCAATTCATGAGAAACATTTCATTGAACAAATCCAAATCCCAATCGAGTTTTGCTTTCAACAGTTTTTTTTTTTCTCCAAACAAAATGGATTCAAACAATTGGAAACAGTATCAGTATGGCGGTTGGAGGAAAACCAGAAATAAAAAAAAAAGAAAAAAAAAAAAAAAAAGAAATCTCGAACAAAAATCATACTTTAAAATATATATTATATACGTATGTACACATCCTCCAGTTCACGGGCTGCTCCCTTTTCGACAGTCACAATCAGAATGAAGCAGAGACAAGTCCCCAAAAATAAAATTGAAAAATCAAATCCGTAAAATCAAAATCAGTAAAATCAAAATCAGTATAATCAATAGAGGAGCTGTGATCTGCACCCAATTTTCTGTTTTCTTATGTCTCCTCTGCAAAAGAAAGAACAAAAGTTTGCTTGGAATGACTAGAATTCGCGGTTTTGAAAGCAGCTAATGATTTCAGACTAAGATTTTGTAAAATGGGCAAAATGTTTCTTGAAATATAATACTGGTAGTCATTAAAAAGGTCCTATATTACACAAAATGGACAGAGTTAAGTGAGATAAGCCATGTGAGAATGTTGTTACCTCCTCAAAAACATAGGCATAGTTGTGTTTTGTTTCATTCGCACATGTTTAGAGACGTAGATAGACTAATAATAAAGGATTACTCAAGATCAAAACGCTTTGGTCCTCCTTGTGAAGTCATCAAGTGGTACTTTTCAAATGAATATCTAAATTTTTACCTTTAGTTCAGTAGAGATTTGCAATTCCAGGGCTGAAATTATCCAAATTATTCTAGTGAAGGTGTGGATTTTTGTGTTGAACATGTGAAACAAAACACAACTCCACGTATATTTTGTGATGAGGAAACAACATTATAACATAGATCAGAATAAAGCATAATGCGGGACCTTTAAACATTACATTTTAAGCAGAACACCCTCCCAAAATCATAAGTATCGATACAAAAAAAGGGCCAATTGTGTAGGATCAAGAAACCAATTTTTTTCCAATAGGGCTGCATCAGATATTTTGGAAAAAAAAGTGGTCCACTGACATAATCTACTGTATTTCATATTGTTTATATTGTTTATAATTACCTGGCTCTCTCCAATGTTTTAATTTGAGACAAAGTTCCTGATTTAAACGTAAAGAAAGCACTATAAAAAGCCGGTTTCTAATGCAGCCCTACATGATCACTGACAAAACCTACAGCTGGGATTTATGAGCGCAGTGACTAAAGATGAACAGCAGAGGGCAGAAGAGTGAAATTAGATCCGAAATTCTGTTGAATTATCTGCTGATTGTAGCTTATTCCCAAAGATATGCATTAAGGCCAGTTTCATAAGACCTAATAGAATTTAGAGATTTTTTTTCAACCTGGATTTATGTTTCATACACATTTTTAAGTTAGATTTTAAATTGGAAAAAAAAAAAAAAAAAAAAATTAAGGTGTAAAGTTACAGGGGGAAAAAAATAAAATAAAAAATCAAATCCTGTTGTTGATTTTTATTTTTTTTTTTACTTCCAAATGAAAATACTAAATATTAAAATATTCCAGATTTTTTTTTTTTTAAGAAAACATTTTATTGTATTTATTGAACATTATTACAAATGGTCAAAAATTAAATAAACAAACAATTTTTTTATCTTATGAAACTGGCCCACTGCATTACAAACTGAGAAATACAGTTTGCAAAAAAAAATATCACCCCATATTTTCAGTTTTATCCAAATTCAAATATTTATAAAAATGGTGATGGGATATACAATTTTCTCAGTTTTATAATTAACTTTTTATCTTTAAATTTTCAGGCGATATGTTTTTACAAGGAGATCGAATCAGACAGAAAAAGACAGAAAATTTAAAAATAGTCTTAAAACTGCTAAATGATGTTACTCTACACTAGTGGTTTAAATATTTAATGTTACAAAAGTTGCATTACAGTAAATAAATTTTCAGATTATTTCCAATGGGAGACAATAATTGGAATTTTGGAAGTCTGACATAGGATTCGGCAATTTTAACAAGACTTCATACCACCCCGAAAGTTTAAAAAAAAGGCATAGGGGGCAGTACTGAGTCGCACTAACAGACATAAACAGTCCGGAAAAAACAAACAAAAACAAAAAACAAAAAAAATCTACCTTTGAATCGAAAAGGCAATATATATTTTTTACTAAAACGTCTACCCCTCGTTTATAAAGAATCGATACTGCTCGGATGCTTTCACTGCCCAGTTAGAAAATAAAGTAATCCTTCAGAACGCCACTATCTGAGCCCATGGTTTGGAGGGGAGTGGGTTTTTAGCTAGCAAATGTTTTCCCTGTGTCTTCCTTGCCTTTGTACGTCCTCTTCCCATGTGTGAACGGTAGGTATCTGTACTTGATCATGTGCTGAAAGACAAAAACACAAAAGGAAATGATTAAAGAACATTGCACCAGAGTCAGTGGTCACGTTTACATGATGTTTTTTTTAAATTCCAAATTAATTGTTCTGAATTAAATAGTTCGGAATTAAAATATTCTCCTTCGAATTTACATGGCAACAATAAATCCGAATTGAGGTTTACATGGAAAACACGTTAAATCGCCTTTATTTAATTCCACTCAACGTCTAGGGGTCAGGAAGGGTTCTGAGTAAGGATGGGCATTCCATGAAATTTTCTTAATCGATCGTCGAAAGAATTAACGATCTATTATCGATGAATAATTAAAGTTTTTATATTAAAATGATCATCATTATTATTACTATCTGCACTACTAATCTGTATAAATACATTTAATTTTACGACATATAAACTGTAACCACTCTAGAGCCACATCAGTTCGTTTGACATTATAATGTGTTTAATTCAGTTTTGAGCAACTCTCACAGAAACAAAACTTAAAACCGTATCGCTAATTTGCATAAACTAAGCGAAGATAAAACTACAGCTCTTGTGTCGCTGATGCGGTCAATTTCTGTCAGATTAAAAGACATGACTCAGTGGAATACAGGTTAGTGTGACCAGATCTGCGTTTGTCAAAACCAGGACACCGTACGGGGGGTGGGAGGTGGGGACTCGTCATCGGCATTGCGGGACTCTCACCTGGCAAAACTTTTTCCCACTGGACACTGAAACATATAAGCTGCTTTGTACACTGTGCACATGGCCTCACACTTGTCCCAAACACAATGGAAAGTGTGGAATTTCTTGTACAAGTCATTGTTAAATACGCATTTGTGCTTCGGTACGTTGCAGGCTGACCGAATGTTTCTGTTTGCTCGCTCCTTCTGAGTGCAGAGAGCTACATGTACGGACACCTGTTTAGTCACGCTACGCACAGCAACCTACATTCGGTTTGTCGATTAAAATTAACGAAATTGATGAAATTCTTAATGATCAATTATCGATTAATCGACTAATCATGCCCATCCCTAGTTCTGAGTATTCCGGTAACTCTACTGGAATACACATAATAAATATTCAGACTACATATGCTCGGTACATGTATTCAGTTACCGTATTTTTCGGACTATAAAGGTGCACAGGATTATAAAGCGCAATATCAATAATGTTGAATTCTCTCTTGTACTGTCATACATAAGGCACACCGGATTAAAAGTCGAACAAATGGACGACACTTGAGACTGATCCTTTAGTCCAGGCGTCCATGATCCATTGGCAGATCGTGGCGTAATTCACCCGCGTCACCTCCCTGTCTTGGTGAATGTGTATTATGAATGTGAATGGGGTGGATCATTTAAGTTTGTGTTTTTTATTCCCTATGAGGAGAACTCAAATATACATTGAGTAATAAAGTGTTTAATGCAGCTTTGTGCACATTTGTTTACATTTTACAGAAACAAAACTTAAAACCACATGACTCATTTGCGTAAACTAAAAGCTCTGAAAAAACAGCTCGCTCCTTGTGTGCTGATGCGATCACCTTCTGTCAGACTAAAGGACACGAGTCAGTGGAAAATGTGTGTTCTCTCTGTGACAAATCTACTGTGACATATATTCTCTGCAGCATTTCACTGATGTCATAAATGCAGACACAGAAATATACTTTTCCCTTTACTCTGTGAGGCTCCTGACTACAGTAGCCATAATGCTCCGACAATCCATCAAGCGGTGCGGCTTCATAGCTTAACATAGTTGTACTAAAACATTTTGACAGATTTTTGAGCACCGTGTACAACATAAAATTGTTTTGAGGACAGTAAGCACAAACAGATTTAATACATAAGGTGCACTGACGATTTGAGAAAATTCAATGATTTTAAGTGCGCCTTATAGTCTGAAAAATACGGTATTTCCCCAACACTGTATAAAGTCTATGGTAGATCTGTGCCAAAATTGAAAGATCAATAGATTGCGATCTCTACTTTGGTCAATCTCAGTGCTAAGGCAAGACAGCTCCTTGCTTTTTCTTTTGCATTATAATCCAAGTAAACAACTATTTTCTCACAGTTTATGAATGAAGCTTAACTAGTGTGCAGTAGTTCATGTGCATGTGTTTCTGTTGCTTACGGTAATGCGCATATGCATTAAAATGTTGTACAAACTCATGTCAACCTTTCTTCAGAATTATTATTGGTCCTGTCAACACGAAATAAAAACTAGTGATCCTGACACTCTGTCCATTATCCCTGAACTCCACCTGCCCGTTTTTAATAAAATGGAGGAAGATCAAATTGAAAATCGAGACTGATCAATATGGGGGAAAAAACAAAACAAATAACGTGATTATTTTTTATCCCATATCACCGGCCCTAGTCTATGATGTGACTAAGTGTAAGTAAAAGGGTGATTTTTTTTCTCTTTACAGACATTATAACACTAAAACTTGAAAATGTGAAATGCTTGATAGCACTTTGAAGAAACTTGTTCACTTTCACAACAGTCCATTATTACTGTGATCTTAATACGGTAATAGTACACTGTGGAATGAGGAGAATGCAGCCCTTACCTTGATCTGCCTCTTCATAGTGATGCAGAAGAGCATGATGAAGTACATGACCAGAATAGGCCAAAACACGGGCACGTTGAAGGCCTCGAAAAATGTACAAATCATGGCGATGACGATGCCTTTTGTCGCCGAATGCCTGTCAACAAATAAAAATAAAAATGCGCTGTTAAAGGGGCTGTATCTGATTTTTACTGTCTTAAAAATGTGAAAAATAGAGCTAGTTTGTTTTTAAATATTTGCAAAGGTTTGTCCAAAGTGTTAGGATGGAAGAAATATTGAAAAATGGATAATGTCGCAATTGTTTTTCTAGAGATATGCACAGTTAGAATATGGAGTATACCGTAAAACCAAAGAACTAAAAAATATACATATTAAAAAGCTACCAAAACGAGTCAATTCAAAATAAAAGTAGCTGAAACACCAAGAGTAATCTCAGAAACAAGGGTATAAAATGATAATCCTGCATTTCTGTGATTACTTTTACACTGTTCTGCGCAAGATTTGAACCTCAACCAAGATACTGAAACTGGCACAACGCTTTTTTTAAACACACTGTTGATGGATTTTTTTGAAATATGTGAATGTTGTTGTCAAGATAATGCAAAAAAACTGTAATGTTCTAGCTTGTCAGTATCATCTAGAACTCCTAAAATATTAAAATGCTAAAAACAGCGCACTTCTGATTCTTGGACAGTAAAAAAACGTTATAATTAGATGCAGACTGCACATATTTTAACCTCAAGAGCCTCTTATACAATACATACCCAACTATATATGTTCTGGGGCACAATTTCAATTTCAAATCAAAAAGATGCTAATAGATGGAGATGTTATCGTTTTGTCTGGAATGTTTCACAGTGTGGCTAAACCTTTCTTCATGGAGACCAAACTGCACCAAGATACAGGTTTGTGGAGAGGCAAACCCGCTCACTGTCAGAATACATGTTTTTTTTGTTTTTTTTTTTTAGGAATTTTTGAGCTATAAAATCACTTGTAATTGAATAAATGTAAAGTAGAGCAGTTTAATGTCATACTGTGGAACATTTCAGGCAGAGCGATGACATTTCCATACCCCGTACACTTCTACGCCGACAACCAACACACCAACCCACCAACCCACATACTTTTACTGCATGGAAATTTTATTGGAAGAGACAATTTGCATCAGAGAATAACAGTTAAGTCTGTGCAGAGTAAACTGAAACAAATGCATTCAAAACGAAGAATAAAGTGCATAAGCCACAATTCTGAAGCGCGGTATATTGCTCAAGTAAATATAGATTGTGCAAAAATATCAAAATCGTACTGTTTAATGCGATGATACAGTACTGATAAAGGGCTGCTGTATCGTTATATTACCAAAAGTGTTTTTTTTGTTTGTATTTTACCAAATTATTTTGTTACAGCGCTACAGTTTTGTTGCTTGTACAGAGGAAGGAAACGAGTTTATGCGACACATTTGACATTTTCATTGTTTTGATGATTAAAATGGGTGTTTTTCGTATGGACTTTGCACAAGAAGTTTTTTAACAAAGACTTTTAGTATCACAGCCACAATTTAGCCTTTATTTTTTATTGAACCGTATCAAATCGATTTGAAATGTATCGAAAATCCACTGTATCAAGATAGAGCTTTGTGTTGCATTTTTGTATGTAAAGCGCCCTATAAATATAGTTTGATTTGATTTGAGATATATATCGTGGCGTCTGTATCAAGGTACGTATTGTATCGGCGACTTCTTAATCATATCCAGGCATAATGTAGACAATAATCAACAATACTGAAATCAAACCATAAAGCAGAAATATAATACCGTATTTTCTGGGCTATTAGGCGCTCTGGATTATAAGACGCACTGTCATTAAATGGTCTATTTTCAAACTTTTTTCAAATATAAACTGGACTTTAAATGAAACACAACAGTTCGATGGGTCAGTCTGACTATGTTTGCAGCGTTCACGGTGACTCTGGGCTTTGTTCAATTGTGGCGTGTAGTAGAGATGCGCGGATGGGCTATTTTTTCATCCGCAACCGCGACACAAAACTCATCATCCGCCCGCTGTCCATTTTGCACCGAAGGTTTTCAAAACCGCACCCGCCCGCCATCCGCCGATTGATTTTAGATTTTAGAACAATCATACAGCAAACAAACTAAGGAGCCCTCGATAAAAATGCAAACTCTATAGCTCATTCATTCCAAAATTCGCTCAGCGTGTATGTTCGCATTCTTAATTGTCCGCAACAACCCCAAACTTACCTGGTTTTCTTGCGCAGCAAATTAATTGACAACGTTTTCCGACTAGACTATTTTATGAACCTTCTTGCCTTCGTGTTGGATGTTGTTACATTCTGAACATTCTGCCATTGCCCGATGTTATTTCAAAGTCATAGCCTCACTCCATCGGTCTTTCTTTAAGTTTTAAATACCCCGAGTGGCAGTCTACGCTATAATGTCTGCGTGTTTTAAAATATAACTGATATCGAAACAAAATAGACAGATCATCTCATCCAGATGAACCTTTACTGAAATCAGGCAATGCCCTCTTTATATTCCAATTGAAATAGGCAAGAAAAAATATGCATAACTAAATAAATATGGCCCTATAGCCACTTATGTGTTGGCAAACAGCTGAAATAAATTAGAAATAATAAAATAAACTGCATATAATATGTGCCTCGTAAACCTTAGGCTATCAATAACCCGACACAACCTTAACCTTCAGAACATAAAAACGAGGTCAAATGGGCTAATTAAGGATATGACGTACACTTCATACTACAAGCATAGACAGTGAGACTTGTCTTTTCAGATGTAGGTAACAATACTAACATTATCTTTTTTTTTTTAATTTTATTTTATTTTTTTAGTAGTTAAACCGCCACCCGCCCGAATTTAATTAAAATATAAATTTTTCGTCACATCATCCGCCCGACCCGCAGATTAACCGCGGATACCGCGGTTGTAACCGCAATCTGCGCATCTCTAGCGTGTAGGGAGGGTGCTGTCTGGGACCGCTGGATTGTCGGCGTGTTTGCAGTGACTCAGTTGTTCAGTTGCGTCTAGAAGTGGCACATTGGACTCGCTTTTTCGGTTCGTCCATTCCTCGTCCGCGTGGAGTGATGAGTGTGGCTGCGGGTGTTTTTCACTGTGTGGTCGCTGTTTCGCGCTCCGTGTGTGTTTGTGTGTTCTGCGGGTGGTGCGGCTTTCTAGTTTACTGAAGTCGTGCTGGGACACCCGAGTGGATTCGTGTATAGGGCACTCTGGATTGTGGGGTGCGCAGTCGTTTTTTGAGGGGGTTGGACGTTTAAGAGTGCATCTAATAGCTCAGAAAATACGGTATTCTAAATGCACAATATTGTACACAAAAAAACAGGAGCTGCAATAAATAAATAGCAGAGTTAAAAACTTAGTTCCTGTAGTACTTAGTTTGGATCTATAATTAGTCATTAGATATCTACAGCTCAAATTTTATATGAAAAAAAAGAAAGAAAAAAAAAAGAAATTTCCCACCAGTACTGACAGCAAAAAATAACCGTTCCATCTCTCATATACTGTATACTGAACGATAAGTCAGTATAGTAATTATCACGACAAGTTAGACTTCCCATTTCCCTAAAACCTCGGTAACATGAATTATTTATAACATTTTGGTGAAGTTTATAAAATTCGCTTTGTAGTTTTTTAGACAAAGGCAACAGATGTAACATGCACTTTTAGCATTTTTAAAAGCAGGTGAAAATGAATAATATTTGCATTAAAAACCTTTCTAACGAAGGGTCCGCAATGTGCTTTTCTCCATGGAGATGTTATAGCTTTGTCAGAAATGTTTCACAGTGTGGTTTTAAAATCAAGCCAAGTTACTGGTAAGATCTCTGGAGATGCTCACAGTCAGAATTAATGTTTTTTTAGGTGTTTTTGAGAAATTAAACCACCTGTAATTGAACAAATGTAAGGTAGAGCTGTTTAATGCCATATTGTGGAACATTTGAAGCCGAGCAATGACATATCCATAGAAACAAGCAGGAGACAGACGTCCAACTGAAAATTTACATAATGTCCCTTCAGTATTTTTTGGACATGGGATTTTGGGCATCAGTATCTTCAAAACAAGAAAATATAATACAATTTATTTAACATTATACTACACTACAGGTATAAACAGATAAATGTGATAACACCAGAATTTAGTTGTACTCTGAGTGTGAGACAAAGCTTAAGAAAACAACTAAAGACAAAAACAGATGGTAATTCCTTAACTGCTACCTTGCAATTATACTGTAAACAAGGGAAAACGCGAGCCTAATTTACACAATAGTGATGACTCGACAAATCAGAATATATGAGAACACCTATAGTTTAAAAAGAATGTTTAAAAATGTGAGCCTTGCCATAAATTGTCCTCATATTTTAGGTGGAATTTTGTATACTGATGATATACATATAAGGTTTTCAGCGCTACTACGTAAAACTACCATAAATGTTTAGTAGGGATGTAATGATATCCAAATCCCTCGGTACGATATCACAATATGCATCTCACTGTACAATATTTATTGCGATACTTTGGAGAGGCTGATAATATAATTGTAGACAGGACACACTTTTGCTTTTAAAATACCTCCACATGAATTTGGTGTGAATTATTACTGTCATAATCCCAAGAATTCAAGTAAAACCATATCTTCATGTTGTCTGCCCTGAAATGGATCATGGCATATGTAGTTCTCGATGTTTATTAGCTATTGCAGCTGTAAAACAATGTATCTAAGCAAACAAACTTGTAATTTGATATATTACGACAGTACACGATATTATTTTGAGAGTTCTGATGATACAATATTTCGGTTATTGTTATATCCCTTATGTTTAGGGATGTGGATTTTGGCTTATGGTCTACAATTGTTAAATCGGGGTGTGCAAAAACATTGAGATATTGATATATGTGATGATACGGTATTGATATTATGGGCTGCTGTATTGACATATCGGCAAGAGTATTTTTTGGTGTATTTTACTAAATTATTTTGTTACAGCGCTACAGTTTTGTTGCTTGTTCAGAGGAAGAAAACTTGTTGTTGTGACACATTTGACATTTTCACTGTTTTGATGATTAAAATGGGCGTGTTTCATATAAATTTTGCACAAGAAGTGGTTTAACAAAGACTTTTAGTATCACAGCCATGATTTAGCCTTTATTACCTCCGCCAAGGAGGTTACGTTTTTGCCGGCGTTTGTCTGTTTGTTTTTTGTTTGTTTGTCTGTTAGCAACATAACTCAAAAAGTTATGGACCGATTTTGATGAAATTTTCAGGATTTGTTGGAAATGTGAAAAGGAAGAACTGATTTCATTTTGGGGGTGATCCGGAAGAAATCCTGGATTCTGGATCACTTTTGTAACATGCCTGATTTTTCAACCAAGGTTGTTAGGTCATGTTTGGTCATAAATCATAATCCAATCGTGATGTTACTTCTTCTGAACAATTGAAACACATACCAGAATTTGAACTCCGGTAACCTCCTGATGAATGGACGAAATTCCTCATTCTGCTTGGTCGGAAGAGCTGGACCGTCATCTGCGATAAGGAAATCAAATTATTATGTTTTATTCATTCATTAGTTAAACTGATGTGTATGTTTTCATAGCAGCTTCTTCTCTCCCTTCACAGAGACGTACCTTCATCAAGCAGCGATGGGTCCACTTTTGGCGATAGGAAAGCAATGAAGAGGTTGAGATGGTAGATTCCCAAAGCATAAGTTACTATATACCAACCCTGAAAAGAGAGATTACAGTTTTAATTAAAGTTTAGTTTGCTGTTTTGTATTAATTTAGCCTTTGTTTTGGTTTGACAAAAACAAAAACAAAACTGAAACCATTGTAAAGTTGCACACAATTTTCTATGTACAGTATTTTGCGGACTATAAGTCTCTCTGGAGTATAAGTCACACCAGCCAAAAATGCGTAATGAAGAAGATACAAACATATAAATCGCAATTTTTGGGGGAAATTTATTTTATAAAATTCAGAGACCAGGAACTGACATTTCATCGTGAAAGGCAAGTTCTAGTAATAACAATAGAACACAGAACAACAGGCTATTAAAGTCACATATGAACAGTTCTTCAGATAACTATACTACAGAACAGAACAGAACAAGTTTAACAAACTCTCCATCTCACTCCAAAATCACTAAATCCATTCAATTCTTCATTCTCTGTGTCACTTCTGAGCAACTCCACGACCTCCTGAGGAAAACAGAGCGCTGCTTCCTCTTCTGTGTAGCTGTCGTCAGACTCAGCATCAGATCCAGTTAAAATTATTCCGGCCTTTCTGAATCCCGACAGGATGGTTTCGGTGCCACTGGAGTCCAGGCTTTGTCCATCCATCCAATGACTTCAAGGAAATTTGCATGGTGCACCCTCTCGGTTCGTGTGAAGCTGTGTTCTTCATCCCCGCTTTCCGCCAGTCCCTCACAAGTTTCTCACTCACTCCAAACTTTCTTTCTACTGCTCGATTACAGTTTTCAGCTGCATATTTCGCTACTTGCAGCAGGACAGCAGCTTTGTCTACAAGAGACATGTGCAGTAGAGGGCGAACTGACAGCAGTACAGGAGTAATAGGAGCAGAAGATACTGGCACACAAGCTTAGAGCCTCTCGCGGCTGTCAGTGTGAAAATTTTAATATAACAGTCGCACCCCAGTATAAGTCGCAGAAAACACCATGAAAAAAAAAGTGTGACTTATAGTCCGAAAAATACAGTAACCTTTCTATGTTATTGCTTTGCCTTGAATGTTCCACAGTATGACATATCTGTAGAGAAGGATCCAGCTCACAGCAAAAATTAATGCATTTCCTTTTTTTTTTTCCCCCCAACAAAACACTTATAACTGAATAAACACAAGATATGCCGTACTATGAGACATTCCAGACAAAGCAAAGAAGACTATCAGATTACAGAAAAGTGTCACAGGGCAGCTTAAACAGTAAATTCTTGATTAGAGAAATTTGAGTAATATCAATAATTTAATCAAACTTGGGTTGAAATGTGTTTTTAGGTAAATGTACTGACAAAGTCTGTTTTGCGTTACCTGTAGTATGTACACTCTGATCATGTAGATAGCTGTCAGTAGTAAAGTCGCAGCCCATCTCACTGCGTAGAACGGCGTCGACTTGTCCAGCCATGACTGATAGATCTGTTTGAAAACAAGCAAATGAGCACATCTTTTTATAGCAGTGCACATTAAATACACAATGTAAACAACAATCAATCACTTCATCCAGTTTCAAATGATATGGCACTTGTGCATGGGATATAACTTACAATTCCAATGTCACAAAATATTAAAAACAAATCAAACTATATTACATATTATTACCTTGCTTTTCAATCACATCTTAAAACTCACTTTTACTGACATTTCATATCATTTCTGTGTGCAAATTTCTGTCTTTCTTTCTCTTTTAATTTGTGTGGTGTTGCATTTTAGTGTTGTGAAGCAATCTGTAAACTGTATTTTTAAAAGGTGGTATATTAATTAGATTATAGAATGATTATTACGGATAATATTTTCATATAGATGGTTATTTTTGACAGAACATGAATTAAGCATCAAGACTATCACGACCCCATTTTGAAGCAGCATTACAATAATTCACGATAATTATTACATCAACTTATCATTCAATACATGAAAGACAGAAGTATATATTTTGTGTTTGAATAATACTTTATTTAAAAATGCTTAAATGAGATTATCCTGCTTTATTCTTATTGTGTCAGAGGCAAAAATGACTACTAATATTTCTCTGCTGCAACAGACTGTGCTTCAAAATGAGTTGAAAATCACCCAAGCATCTTATTTTTTTGTCTCATTACTGTTATTTATCAAATAGATAGATAGTATTCACATTATATAAACTTTACCTGTCCAATCCGTGTAAAAAAGACTGCGATTACCGATGGTTTTCCATGGATTGACTCCCCAGCACTGTCCCCTTCTGACATTCTGAAACACAAAACTTTTATTAGACAAAGCAGTTTTATTTTCATTTTTTCAGCCATAAAATACAAGCTATAACTCATAATATTGGTCAACACATTCCTACTAAATCAATACATTTGTCACAATAGAGCCCAGCGTGATAATGCTCGCAGAAATCCAGACAAACCTGAAAAGCATAACTTCTTTTCATGCAACTATTCAAAGCCTTTGGCACTGCCCCAGGAGGCATTTATCACAGTGTAACCACGGAAACTGCTAATAAGATTTAATAGTTATGAATGAGCGGTGACAATTGAGGACTACTGATGAATTTAGCACACTTGAATGTAATGGTGCGAACATCTGTTATTTTTAACAGAGAAAGGGGAAGGAAAATGTTAACAGGCCTATATTATGTAAAACTGACTCATGTGAGCTTTAAGCCATGTTTTAATGTTCTTACCTCATCAAAAACATAACCGGAGCTGTGTTTCATTCACACATGTTTGAGTAACCTTGTATTATTACTCTGTCTACACCTCCAAAGCTCAAAATGCTCTGTTCCACCTTGTGATGTCTTCAAGTGGTAGTTTTCAAGTTAGAATCTACCTTGTTATCTTTTGTTCAGTAGATTGGCAATTCCAGAGCCGAAATCAATCCGTGTATCATTCGTTCATTCGTTTTTCAATATAAAACTAAAAATAAGAAAACGAAAAAACAACAGTTTTCTTCGTTATTTGTCTCCAAAACCAAAATGAAAAAACGGATAATGATTTGTTTTTTCAGTTTTTGATTTTGTGTTTAAATGAAGAATAGAAAAAACGGATAACGGCCGTTTCCCGTTTATGTGACTTCCGTGACTGCGATGCCGGACTTTTGCACCGCATACGGACTGAATCAGGACGGATCCAGGTCCGAGACCAGACCGAGACCAGAGCGGGACTGAGACCGGGACAGAACTGCTCTGGTCCTCCGCGCTCAAGAACCGCGGCTGGTTCCGAGGTGGTGCAAAGCATCCGACTGACGCATTCACACCAATGAAAATGAATCGAACTAAGAGCTTTTGGTTCAAATGGACCAGGTCCGGGACTAGACCGGGACCAAAGCGCTACTGAGACTGAGACCAGACCGGGACCAGAGCGGGCCTGAGACCGAGACCGAGACAAGACTAGGACCAGACCGGGACCAGACCGGAGGCTCAGAGCCCACGGCAGGGCCGGAGCTCGAAGCTGAGGCTCGGACCCCGTGGAGGCTCGGAGTCAAAGCTCGGAGTCAAAGCGGAGTCCGCCCTGGTCCCGCTCTGGTCCCTGTCTGGTCCCGGTCTCAGTCCCGCTCTGGTCTCGGTCTGGTCTCGGACCTGGATCCGTCCTGATTCAGTCCGTATGCGGTGCAAAAGTCCGGCATCGCAGTCACGGAAGTCACGAAAACGGGAAACGGCCGTTATCCGTTTTTTCTATTCTTCATTTAAACACAAAATCGAAAACTGAAAAAACGAATCGTTATCCGTTTTTTTCATTTTGGTTTTGGAGACAAATAACGAAGAAAACTGTTGTTTTTTCGTTTTCTTATTTTTGATTTTATATTGAAAAACGAATGAACGAATGATACACGGATTGAAATCATCCAAATGATTCCATAGTCATGGTGTATGGAGTTTAAATATAAAATAAAATATAAATAATCAACTAAACATGCAGGATTATTGAGTTAAACATGTGAAAGGGAAGCAAACACAACTAATATACTACTATACTACTATAATATACTAATATAATACTAATATAATATAAATATATAAAAAAGGAGCTTATCACTAAACAATGTCAAAGTTTAGCATTTGTGAATATATTAATGGTTGGATACTGGAATACTGGTTTGTGCCTCCTAAATTATCAAATGATATTATTTGATCAGAAAAAAAAATAATTCTAAAATTCTCTTAAAATATGAGGCACCCATTTGTATTTTCAACAGCAAAATAGTATTTGTCCATTGACCAAATCCACTCATTGTTACTTTCATGGATCAAGAGGATTGTGTAAGTTTTTTTTGTTTTGTTTTTTAAACATAATACATGTAAATAAACTAAACCATATGAAATCCTTTAATTGCCAGATGGCACCCAGCATTTTTTTCTGCTGCTGTAATGTTTTTTTTAGAAAGTACTGTGACATTTTAAATATTTTTAATACCCATGTGAATGATGTTTCAGATGACATCAAATCATTTCAGCGACCAACAATATCTAAAGATGCATTGTGTAACTTTCTGGTGGAAAGTCTGACACCTGCTTTTCTGCATGGAGATGGTACTGCTTAGTCTGGAAAGTTTCACAGTATGGCATTAACCTTTCTATCTTCATGGAGACCAAACCAGGCCAAGTTATAGGTCAGATCTGTGGAGAGGCAACCCCGCTCACAGTCACAAAGCTCACAAATTATTTCTGAGCTATAAATCCACCTGGAATTGAATAAATGTAAGGTGGATCTGTTTAATATCATACCGTGTATCATTCCAACCAGAGCGATGACATTTTCATAGAAACAAGGTAACACATGGAGGAGCTAAAATTAATATTGTTAAAAAAATGATTTTTGGTTGAATATAGTGCTTGGGTCTAGCCATTAATATAAATTCCTAGGGATGTAACAAGAACTCATAACAATATCGTATTGTCAAAGTTCTCACAATAATATCGTGGACCATCACAATATATCGAATTACAAGTCTCTTTGCTTAAATTAAGAGTTATGGTGCAGCAATAGCTAAAAAAAAGACAGAGGGAACTACATAGACCATGATCCTTTGCTCCATTTCAGTGCAGACTATAAGAAGAAATAACAGTTGTAAGCACTTTTAAGTCTTGGTTTTTTGGATTAAGTCTTGTCAAAGAGGAAAAAGTAGCATATGAACAGTTTTGTTGGCCTCCACAAAATATCACAATAAATATCGTATCGTGAGATCTATATCATGAAAATATCGTACCAAGAGATTTGGATATCGTTACATCCCTAATCGTGAGACTTTCCACTACATCAAGAGCTTTCCCATGATATTGCAATAAATATCGTACTGCGAGGTTCATACCATGATGATATCGTATCGTGAGACTTTGATATCATTACATCGACACAAATGACTAAGTTCAACATTTGTAAATTCACCGATTGAATATTCCATGGCAAAGTACAATGTTCTCAACAGGAAAAACTGTTTCTTGCCCCCATCAGTGTAGGGTATAATCAGACTGTAGAACAGATAACTTCCAGCTGATAAATTATTGGTAGTTTTCAGATTCTAGAAAGTAATTATGTCATACTCCCAGAAGGGGGCAGGAACCACATTTCCCTATTGATGACATTGTGCTTTGCCATGAAATATCCAAAAGGTAAAGTCACAAATTTTGGATCTGATCATTTCTATTAGTGACTAGACCCAAGAACTCAAAGTATTACAACAAAAACCTGAATTTTAGCAATACACATTTCAGCTGCCCCCATCTGTATTACATATTTTGGCCTATAGAATGTTGTGATGCCATCTGAAACACAGCAATTGGTCGTTTTCAGGTTATACAATGTAATTATGTCATACTCAGATAGGGGGCAAGAGCCAGTTTTTCCTGTTGATTCCATTGAACTTTGCCATGAAATATTGGAAAGGTAAATTCCCAAATCATTTCTATTATTGACTAGACCCAACATTATGCTATATTGCAACAAAAATCTGCAGTAGAATATAAATTTTAGCTGCCAAATTACCTTTTTTTTACCATTTTTACAGGAACTTTGTTGAAAATCTACCTTGATAAAGCTAATATTTAATATTTAGTGTGTGGTTTTAAGGATCTTGGCATGAATAAAGTCTGGTGGCTCATTCTAATGTGATAAACTTGCACATATTTCAGTTATTCACTGTATTGAGCACCAGTCTACGACCCTCAATCAGCCCTCTGCTTCATCTGTGTTTAGATATGTGGCCCTTGATGAAAAAAATTTGGACACCCCTGGACTAGACCAACTAACGTCTTGTACACAACACAAGTCTGCATTTTAACAATATTAGTTTCAGTTGGCCCCTTCTCTATTAAAGGTGCACTACGTAACTCTTCGGCTGGGGGTCTGTCACCTGCTTGTTTCTGTGGATATGTCATTGCTCTACCTGGAATGTTCCACAGTGTGACATTAAACAGCTCTACCTTATGTGTATTCAATTACAAGTGGTTTTATATCTTGAAAACACCTTAAAAAACAAAACAAAGCATGCATTCTGACTGTAATTTGGTCTGGTTTGGTGTCCATGGTGATAGAAATTGTTTAATGCCATACTGTGAAATGTTCCAGACATAGCAGCAAAATCTTTATTTAGAAAAGCGTTTGACAGACTCTCCACTAGAAAAGTTACACAACACATCTTTAAATACTATTGACCAATATAATGTTGTGATGTAATTTGAAACCCAGTAAGATCATGTTCATGGTCTAGTGCAGTGCTTCTCAATTATTTTCTGTCATGCCCCCCTTAGGACAATAAAACATCTCAGCCCCCCCACGTGACTATAAATAGTATCATTTGTCTATAAAATTGTTATAAATACATTGCGTAAACTTTATATGACAACAATGCTCGCTGGTTTACTGAAGTAGCAGTCACAAGCGGGATGATTGTCACAATATTCGCACGTTTTCGCTGAAAAATCTCAAGCGGCTTATCAGAGTGATTGGGGTGTAATGTATTTAAGTGACGCCTTAATTTATTGGGCATCATGCTGTCCGCTGCCAACATTTTTAGACACAGTAAGCACACCGGTCTTTCCTCGTCTCCCACCGTAGTCACAGTGAAGCCAAGCGCTACATACGCTTCGTCGTATTTCCTCGTCTTAGCTTTCGGGAGATTTTCGTTTCTCTCCACCTGTCTTCTCATCCCTGTTAAATATTTTTTCATGGTGTCACTTGAGGGTCTGCTACACTTCGTGTCTATTCATACTCAAACTCTGTGCTGTGTGCAAAGCGCGCATGCTCATATATGATAATGATGTATGTAGTGGATGCAATTGCACTTTATTCTAAAGGCCCGTTCAGACCAAAGCGTAAAGCGTCCACTTTCTATGTAAAGTCTATGTGGACGCGCAACTAGAGCGTCCTGCGTTTTTGCGGCGCGTTTTCGGCGTCATCTGGCGTCATCTTCAGCGTTTTGGCGTCAGCGGCCAAGACGCGCGTAAGGCGTTAGCGTGAAGCTGAAAATGCTGATTTTCGGTCATATAGGGACGAGTAGAGACGCAGCGACGTTATTATCAGTTAAATGATATATGGACTACAAGGACTGGACTAGATTATTTTGATGATAGACAGAGGACTAGACACTGATTTCATTAGTTACATTCCTCCTTTGATGTTTTATGTCATAAAAACACTCTCACAGTTGGTCTGACATTGTTTCGGGAAAAGAGCGGGACCGGGCTCTTGTTTCCAGGGCAACGGACGCGCGTTATTTTGTTCGTCCACGGCGTCAAAGACGCGCGTCGGGGGCATCTAAACTCAAATGCAAAGGCTCCAAATAGAGGCGTCAAGGCGTTTTTTGACGCTTTGGTGTGAACGGCCCTTAAGACAGTAAAAAAAAATCAAAATAAAAAATAAAAAAGCATGTTCCCCGAGGTCATTTGACGGAGCCTCACGCCCCATATTTGAGAAGCACTGGTCTAGTGGCACCAGTGGATATTATTTCATTAAATTACATATTACAATTTACTTACAAGTGACCAAGCATGGGGTAAGGGGGTAAATGTATTTATGTATTTTGACTTGTACATAGGGGTGTGCAAGAAATATATATAAAATTATTGATATATCGTATTGTTAAATGTGATGATACAGTGTTGATATCGTGGGCTACTGTTTTGATATATCTTCAAGAGTATTTTTTGATATATTTTACTACATTATTTTGTTACAGAGCTACAGTTCTGTTGCTTGTTCAGAGGAAGGAAATGCGTTCATACAACACATTTGACATTTTCACTGTTATTATGATGATTAAAATGGGTGTGTTTCATATTAACTTGGCACAAGAAGTGGTTTAACAAAGACTTAATTTAGCCATTATATTTAATTAACTATATTGAATTGATTTGAAATACATATCGTATCGAACTAAAACTGCAATGTATCATGTCGTGGCCTATGTATCGAGGTATGTATCGTATCGGCAACGTCTGAATGATACCCAGCCCTACTTGTACATATACATTTATTAGGGATGTAACGATATCCAACCCTCTCGATACGATATTATCACGATATGCTTCTCATGTTACGGTATTTATTGCAATATTGTGTGGAGGCAAAAAAAAGTGAGTATACTACTTTTCTCTCATCACAATCCAAATAATTAAGATTTCCAAGTGCTTATAATAGTTATTTCAGCATGTAGACTGGACTGAAACAGAGCAAAGGATCATTGTCTATGTAGTTCTCACTGTTTTTTAGCTGTTACTGCACCAAAACAATGAAATTAAGCAATATATTGTGACAGCCAATGATATTATTGAGAGACTTTTGATGATACGAAATCACAGTATTTCAATTATTGTTATGTCCTTAACATTTATATAATTACAATTATTTGACACCAGTTTCTTGCCATCTTTTGTGCTACTTATTTGGAATTTATTATTACCATTTATATATCTTTTTTTTTTTTTTTTTTTAACTCTTTGGTATTATAATATACTGTGATGTGTGAGCTACTGTGTCCAAATCATTTCCCTAGTGGATCAATACAGTTTGTTTAAGTCTAAGTAAATAGAATATGTGTAAAAAATAATCTCACTAGGTTTTAAAATGTCATTCACGTTGTCTTGGATGGCCAAAGAAAAAAATGCAGTAGGCATAAACCAAAATAACAAAAACTAAACAAAAAAATATCTTGTTAGCAGCTTAAAAACGTATTAAAATATAACGCTTGGCCGAGACAGCGCAATTTAGGCCGAGGATTTTGTTTCGTTTCACTGACAAATCCATTGCAAATCATGTAGGCTGGATCATTTCCCAACAATTTATAGTTAATTACGATTTTACCACACGTTATGTCCAAATCGACCTGATGCTGTACACTTGCCAAACCAAAATAATAAGCAATGACAATTAAAATGTAAAAAATACTTGTGTTCTGAGCTGTTAGCTTACAGTAACCGCACATAAATAGCTTCCAGGCTAATAAGAAAGGAACTAAATCATAAGCAATACAACCATAAAGCATTTAATAGATGTAATTTGAGCCGTGGTCATATATAAAAACACACTGTATATGCCTTGTAGTGTCTCCAACAAAGATTTCCTCATAAAATAGCAATAAAGTCATTCATATAAGGGTGAAAATTGATAAAAGCTAACTAGCAATGTTGCCCTTTAGCCCAAATCGTTTGCTAACATGGGTATTGTAGTTTATCAAGCCCAGCGTTGCGTTGCGATGTAAATATACGACACTACAGTTCCCATAAGTCTTCGCGCTCACTTCTCAAAGGCGCTTTCGTCTAAGTGTAGTTCTATGCACGATCTATCGTAGGCGCAAATGAGGAGTATTGAACTACAAATCCCAGAAAGGAGCGTACACGTTGACAACTCACTTCCTGCGGTACAGCTCGTAGCGGTTATTAATCTAGCCGAGCCAACGCTAACACACATGAAACGGCCAAGAAAACGCGCCAGAATACACCTGTTGGGGGAATTTTGAGGGGAAACGCAACATCTCTGGTCAATAATGTGCTGACGGTGTGCGTGTCTGTTGTAGATTCATTGGAAATCGCCGGTGTGTGGGTGCTGTCCTACCTGATGCGGCCGCTGTGTCACTACCCCGGCTCGGACTAGCCTCGCTGCACTGGCCCCTCCGGAGTGAATGGAGTGTGAACACGTCAGTATTTCCGCACAGGCAACACAAGGAGCCAGGACGCACAATCAAACACGAAACATCGATGAGTATAACACCCGTACTGCCCAATAATCAGTGTTGGGAAGGTTACTTTTAAAATGTTTTCCCCTACAGATTACAGATTACACACCCCAAAATGTAGTTTGTAACGTAATCCATTAAATTACTTAAAGTGTGTAATGTAATGTGAATACTATGGATTACTTGATTTGCTGAAGAGAAGCAAAGACTAGGATACTTAACCGTATTAAAAATATTATTGAGAGAAGAGGAGGAGACACGTCCGCGCAGCATGGTTTAGTCCTGTTAAATCCTGTTTTAGTCCTGGTTTAGATCTAGTTTAGACCTGGTTTAGACCTGGTTTAGTCCTGGTTTAGACCTGGTTTAGATCTAGTTTAGACCTGGTTTAGACCTGGGTTTAGATTTAGTTTAGACCTGGGTTTAGTCCTGGTTTAGACCTGGTTTAGACCTGGTTTTAGTCCTGGTTTAGTCCTTGTTTAGACCTGATTTAGATCTGGTTTTAGTCCTGGTTTAGTCCTGGTTTAGACCTGGTTTAGATCTGGTTTAGATCTAGTTTAGACCTGGTTTTAGTCCTGGTTTAGACCTGGTTTTAGTCCTGGTTTAGTTTCCAGCAATGAGTGGAATTACTGAAAAAAAAATAAAAATAATGTGAAAACAGGAAAATATCGCTGTGTAATCCATTTATTTCAACAAAGTAACTGTAATCCCATTAACACTCACTGAAACAGTAACTGTAACTGAATACAGTTACTCATAAATTGTCCTCTGATTATGTAACTCCAGTACATGTAATCTGTTACTCCCCAACACTGCCAATAATCAATATATTTAGGGTGACTAGACTTTAAAAATAAAAAAAACTAGCACATCCCTGGTTTGTATTGGTTGATAATAATAATATTCTGAAACGAGTGCGTAATTAAGGAAAATTGTTATGAACTGTGCACGTTTTCTTTGTGTTTTAATCATTTTTAAGCATCTTTTCTGTATTTTATCTAAAGAAATTACAGTTTATGCCTCTCTTTACTGTTGGCAGGGATCAGATTGGTCAAAAATAGGGACACCTGGGACATTTCTTCTGTAAAATTGGGACAAATCAGTGGTTTTGGATAAATCTGCTGGGACAGGGGACACGGTTCAAAACTGGGACTGTCCCGGGTAAACAGGGACGTCTGATCACCCTAAATATATTACAACTGACTGAGCTGTAAAGTCCCAGAGGAGGCTTCAGAAGGTCGCATTAAAAGGACTTGGATGGTTTTTAAGGTATTTTGCATTAGGTTTAGGTCTTTGTTTATCAATTTAAAAAGGCTAAGTAGGCTATGTCCTCTCATCAAAAATATTTCTTATCAAAAGATACAATCTTAATGAAATGTAGAGAATAATATGAAATATAGGCTACTATGTGCACAAAAGATTGCCATACAACATAAAAAAAAATAATAATAAAAAAAATCATAAATTAAATGATCTTCATCAAAATAAAAATGATAATAGGGCTAGACTTACAAGATTAGTTTGCACAAAATAGGTTACACATTACTGTAGAATATAGACCTGAGCATTGTCCAGCTCCCGGCCACATACGGCGCTGTGGTTGACTCTGACTGGCCCATTTTAGGTCATTTACAATTACAAAATAACATATTTTTTAAGTTTACCTCATACATGGACTAAAGCATTTGCTTTTATTTAAGAGATGTCTTTTAAATTACATTTTTTGTAAGGCAACCTCACTTTTTCATTGCTTAGTCCAGGCATGTCCAAACTATGGCCCGTGGGCCAAATGTGTCCCTCAGACAAATTTTTCTTGGCCCTCAGGCTTCCAGGTGAATTGGCCCAAATTACTTTGCATCAGTTAAAAATTATTTTTTACAGCAAGTTTTTTGAAAATCTACCTCAATAAAGCTGATATTTAATATTTAGTGTGTGGTTTTAAGGATCTTACCATGAATAAAGACTGATTCTAATGTGTTAAACATGGACATATTTCAATTATTCACTAGTCTATGGCCAGTGACCAGTCCACTTCATCTGTGTTTACATATGTGGTCCTTGATGAAAAAAGTTTGGACACCCATGGCTTAGTCATTACATAAACTCTTACCAGTCTGACCAGCTTGTCAAAACAATATTTACTGCTTTGTATCGAGAAATACAATTAATGTTATGCAGAATTGAGTTAAGTATTTTGGCCTGGTCCTCCACAATATTTTCTCTTTCTCATGTGGACCCATGGAAAAAATAATTGCCACCCCTAAGTATACTAAATAGCAAAGATAACAAGAACATGTTTGGTAATACCATTGAAAGCAGAATAAAGTGGCAAAAAATATCAAGACTTTTTCCTTTTTCATATTATAAAAACATTATAAGAAATGTTATAGATTTTTGTTTAATATTCAAGGCTATGTTTACTGTTTAATCATTACTGACAACATTTAACATAAAAAGGTAAACTATTAATCAATAACCAAAAGACACGATCAGAGTCCAAGATTTATAGCAAAACACTGAATTGTACAACATCAAAAACATGACATTTGAAAGTTACACAAGTACATCCCATAATATTCTTTACAAAAACAGATACAAACTACCCATGAATATAACAAAATGCATATACCAAGTCACATTTTTTACATTTACACATAATAATACTGATCAAATATTAGCGCAGTGAATCCTGACATGTACATAAGTGGTAAAGTGCTCCGACCAATGCTTTGTGAAAATGTGGACAAAATTATATTATATTTACTTATTTTTCACACCAAACTGACAGTAACTCCACATGTAAATCCTACCAATATTTAAAGAGGGAAAAAAATGGAATGTCCTTTTTTCAAAATCTTCAAGTGCCATGAAGTATGCGCCAAGTACCTGCAAGGCGTTTTCACAATACACCAAAAGACTAAAACGCTACGCAAAATTTTCAAATAATCTTTTAACTATAGTTCTATGGTTATAATACTGATTTTGATTGTTTAGTTTTGTGTTATCTGCACTTTTTGCAACAATAAGAAATGTCCCACACAACATAGAAAGTATTAAATGCACAATAACCAAATTTCAGGAAGGGCATCTGGCATAAAAACATTGATATTATGTACTGTAAATGACTGCACGACTGGAAACAGGTGATTTTCTGTGGCAACAACAGACAAGAGGAGAATAAATGAAAAAGTAAAATGCATGTAAAGTATCTGAAGTCAAAACTGATACTTTGCAGCTGATGCCGTCAACATTTCCTGGGGGTGTGACACTAACCGGAGGCTCTGCTCTGTCTGGAGATCAGTTAGATGTTAATCTGAGCTGAAGAACTGATTTACCTGAAACTGCAACAGGTGAGCACATTTCTTATCATTTTGAATTTATTTTTTCAGCTTTAAAATGTCGTATGTTAAATATTTAGCAGATTATGTCAACAATCTCTGGGTGTATGACGGGAACTGAAGGCTCTGCTCTGTCTAAAGCTCAGTACGACTTTACTCAGAGCTGAAACTGCAACAGGTGAGCCCTTTTCTTGTCATTTTGAATTTCTTTTTTCAGCTTTAAAATGTTGTATGTATGAAGTCGTCAACATTCCCTGGGGGTGTGATTTTAACTGTAGGCTCTGTTCTGAGGCTTTCTGAGACTTTAATTACCTCTGCCAAGGAGGTTATGTTTTTGCCGGCGTTTGTCTGTTTGTCTGTTAGCAACATAACTCAAAAAGTTATGGACCTATTTTGATGAAATTTTCAGGATTTGTTGGAAATGTGAAAAGGAAGAACTGATTTCATTTTGGGGGTGATCTGGAAGAAATCCTGGATTCTGGATCACTTTAAAATTTTAGTTAACATTGTGGTAAATGGGGCCAAAAATTTTGTTTCTCAATATCTCGGTTAATTATTGACCAAACCCCATGAAATTTGACTCAGGGATGGACAATGGGATCCTCTTTCATATTCCAAAGGCTGATCCAGATTTGATCCAGAAGACTGATTTTATCGCAATTTATATAAAGAATGGGGGTAGTCCTTGGCGGAGGTCTGCGCTCTCTGAGTGCTTTTCTTGTTTGTGCTTTAACTCCATGAACGCTTGTACTGTGCAAAACTATCAAAATATCGATATATTGTATTGTTTAATGTGATGATACAGTATCAATATCATGGGCTGCTGTATCAGTATATCACAAATCAAGAGTATTTTTTGGTATATTTAGCAAAATTTTGTTACAGCGCTACAGTTTTGTTGCTTGTTTAGAGAAAGAAAGCTAATTTACCTTACACAATTTGACATTATCACTGTTTTAATGATTAAAATGGCCGTGTTTCATATTCAATTTGCACAAGACGTGGTTTAACTAAGACTTTTAGTATCACAGCCATGATTTAGCCTTTATTTTTATTGAACCGTATCGATACAATTTGAAATATATTGTGCACCGTATCGTATGTATTAGAGCCCTGCACTCCGGTGGGACCCGACGCAAAACACATTTTGAAAGCTCATTGCGGGTGTGGGCGGGATCGGGACTGCACAATGTGGGAGCAGGTGTGTGGGATGATAAACTGCAGTCCCGCAAACTAAATATGAGCGTAAAATGAAATATACAAATGATTAATGTATGTTTATCATACATCATTTGTGCTGGATATTTTATTTGGCTTTAATAAAAACCTAAATTCAGCCTAAATTCTTGCACACATTTCAGACAATTCTTTTCCGCTTCTCCGTGTTTGATAGAGCTTAAGAAAGTGAACGTCCACATCTTGCGGGGTTTGCAGGCAGGAGTGGGACAAAATATCACAGATGCAGTCAGGAGTGGGAATGAAAATTTTAAATTTTTTGCGGGAGCGGGACTGAAAATTCAGACCTCTAGTATGTATGTATCGTATCGTGACTTATGTCTTGAGGTATGTATCGGCAACTACTTAACGATACCCAGCTCTACTGATCACAGGCTCCTGAAAATGTTCTTTAAATCAATTTTGTAGTTTTTCTTTTCTTTTTCTTTTTTTCAGACAATCTTGAACGAGTTTGCCAACATGTGCATTGTATCACCCTGGTAACTCCTAAACTTTCCACCATTAGAGATACATGTAGAACACCCCCAGCATGATGTAACTGCAAAGTATCAGTATGGGCAGTTTGTTGTTGTGATCTGCATTTTAAGCATTGAATTGTACCACAAACATGTACCAGACCTCCATCGATTTTAGAAACTAACAAAAACGCAAGATTCTCCATATGCGGACCATTTACAGTACAGCCCCATCGAAACCATATCTAATACAAAACATTTACAAGACGCTTTATTTACATTTGTACAAATATAGAAATAAATAAATCAAATGAGAACTGTTGGCAATTTGTTAGAAGAGAACTGTAACTGTATGTTAAAAAATGTTGAAATGTCAATGGACCTAATATATCAAATGTCATGTATTGCACCAAAAGTATGAAACCTTTACTTTTTTAAGTAAATCAAATGTATTCTAGCATTGTCTTTCTGAAATAATTGAATAAAACGGAGAACCAAAATGTTTTCAAAATCTAGAACGCAAAGATTCCCAAATCTCAAATGGAAGTTTAACCGGTCTTCTTGGATCTATGTCTTGGCATTGTCCAAAAAAGTCCACACATTCGAGATCTAACTATTTATCGACAAGGTCTATTATTCTCTGTACTCAAGTGTGCATTATGTAATTTTTCACTTACTCATCTCCATGAAGATGTTATTATTTTGCAGAGAATGTTTCGCAGTGTGGCATTAAAACTGTATATTTTGACCGTGGGTATTTGTGGATTTCGGACAAACTATTCCTTCGTGATTGGCAAGGAAATTGCCCATTTAAAAGATATAATATTTTCGATTGAGACGATCGCTTGAAATCCATGAATATCTTGGCTTTGTGTCATCCCCGTTTGTCTCCACTGACGTAAAAAAAAAAAAAAGAAGTGTTGTGACATATTGTGGAACATTCCAGACAAACCAATAAACATCTTTATGTAGACACAATAGTTACATGTATTTGTAACTTATGCAACCATCATCAAATCTGCTCTAATCTTAGTTAAAGGTCTACAGTACTATGCAACTTTTCTGGTGGGTCAACCATCTACTTGTCTCTATGCCTAGAATATTCCTCAGTATGGCATTAAACTTACATCTTGTATTCAATTACAGGTGTTTTTAATGCTCACTTTGTAAAAAACGTGCATTCTTACTGTGAGCACTGTCGCCTCTCCACAGATCTGACCTGTAACCTGACCCTGACTTGAAGGCGCCACCATCTTATGTCCATAGTAAGAGATAAGCTATACCATGGAACATTCCAGACAAAACAGTAACATCTCCATGGAGACAAACTCAAAAAGCTACATAGTGCACTTTTAATTTAAGACAGAGATTCACCGATGTTTTTTTCAAAGCTGAAATCAGTTGTTTAGAGCAACCACTGGCCAATAATCTATGATGATACTGTATGTAGAGCCACAGCCCTTTTCTTTTTACCACAATCCTATAAGAGAGCAGTGTAGTCATGTTTTGTGCAGTTATCTCTTCGCATTTAACTGTTCAAATGAAGCTTTGTGTGTATTTTTGAGGCGGCAGATTGACCAAAATAAAACGTCAGCCTGTTCTGGAGATTTAAGGCTGATAGTAAAAAAAGTCCAAATACCGGTCTATCTCTAATTTAAGCAGCCACCAGAAAACCTGCTCGCACCTCAGTCTAACACTACAGGCCTCTTGAATGTCGTGGTTATCAGAAACAGATAAATGATACCACATCTTTTACATGGGCTCCTTTTGGACACCCCTTTTTCTCAGTGAACATCGCTCTCCATGAACTCCTCCTTGATCGAGTGCTTGTTGCGTGACATCTTGCAGTCCGGCATGTCAAAGCCGAAGTCCGCCCACTCGTCGGTAGCCGTGGCCATGCCCCCAGCCCCCACGGCCCGGTTGGGGATGGTGATGGTGTGCCGGACCCGGAAGTGCACGGCCTCCATGACCCTCTGCCGCTGGAGCTCCCCTCCGCTCGCCCCCAGTGTGGCCATGGCCATGTTGCTGCTGGAGCGGAGCAGCTGCTGGCCGTGGTAGTCGTGGTGATGGTGGGCAGAGGGAGCCATGGGGACGGACGACTGTTTCATGTCCTGAAGACCTCTCCAGATGGCCATGCGGGACTGCTCCGGGATCTTCAGAGCGCCCAGTTCCTGAGGGGGAAAAGGTGGTGTCAGAGTCTTACATTGATACTTTGCAGTGCGTCACCATTCCTTGGGAGGGTGATGCTAACTGTCTGAGGGCTCTATAATCTGATCTTAGTTTTAACACTATTTGATCATAAAAACTGACTAAGTTGACCTCCAACAGCTTATTTATGCTGTTAAACAAGTCCCTCTCCAATAACATTATAGTCACAAATGAGCCAGTTTTTTCAGTTAGTCACCTTTAACCTTCTTTGTTGAAAATAAAACATCTAAACAGGAACATGAACACTTGTATTGATCCCAGGCTCCTGAAAATATATGGTTTAAATTTTCCTTGAGTTTTCAGCAGGGGCGGACTGGCAATCTGTACATTCTGGAAAAGTCCAGAATGGCAGTCCCTCTGTGGGGCCAATTGGGGCCACCGCATCCCCTCTCTGGTCCTTAGTTATGCTGAACTGCATGGATCACTCCTCCTGATCGCAGTCCGATTTGTGTGGTTGAATGGTGGGGGGAAAGACCAGACCATTTTTTGGTCCCGATCCGCCCCTGGTTTTCAGACAGCCACAAAAGTTACATGCCAGTGTACGCTAATATGTGCATTGTGTCATGGTAACTGCTGAAATTTACACCATAAACATAAATGCCCCCGGGTGATGTCACTGCAAAGTATTCACACTCAGTACAGGGTTCCCACGGTCATGGAAATCTTGGAAAAGTCATGGGAATTGAAAATGTCATTTTCCAGGCCTAAAAAAGTCACTGAATTTTGCAAATTCAATGAAAGTTTTGGAAAAGTCATGGAATTTTACTATCTCTTTCACTCAACTACAGTGTTCTGTTAAGTTATAACCCTATTATGATTATTTCTGAACGTCTGTGCCTTTTGTTTAAAAGAGATGACAATAAATGCACTGACGGTATTTTGAATGTTAAAAAAAACTATAATCCCAAACCATAAGGTAAATGGAAAGGGTTAATATTTCATATTTAGCCCTAAACGTCTGATCAGTTCTACACATGTAGGTGCCCTAAGGTGATGGAAAATTCACATTAGGTCATGAAAAAGTCATGGAAAAGTTTTGAAATGTCAGTGAAAAAGAGTGGGAACCCTGTCAGTAATTCTTTTAGTGTGATTGATTGTCCAAGAGAGAAGCAGTTACCTCCATGGACAGCGTCTGCAGATGGTAGACCGACTGGAACCCTTGTGAAGTGAAGTAGTCGATGAAGTTCTGGCAGCCCAGATTGGTCAGAAAACTGTGTGGGAGAAAAGCAGGGCTGCTTAGACTGCTGAGTAATAAGCAAATATTACATTATATTTTGGTTCTATTCTTGTGTACATGAGTTTGCTGTGCTAAATCAAATCTATAACGTGTATGAGATATAGCTAGATATTTATGATAACTGTATTACTGTTTTGGCAATTATATAAATGATCCATAAGCCAACATTTTTTGTTGATAAAAACTTTATTTATCTTACATCCAGCATTGGAATTTGGCAAAAATACATCAAATTGAAATAAAGGATAACTTTACAATTTACAGCTTGGTAAAAGGAACGTTTACAGAACTGGATTATCAGATGGCACTTTTAAATAAATTCTATTGGGAAGGAATAGCTACAGCACAAAATTGTAATACACAATTGAAAATCACAGTTAATGGAAGCCTTATCAAATAAATGTACAGTTTAAACTAGCAAATAATTTACTAATAGATGTTTCAGCTGCTGCTATAACAATATACAAATCTGAAAATCTGAACAGTTATGCAAAAATAGCAACACACAAAGGACAATTTACACATGACATGACAAAAACTGTACAAAACATTAACAGTAGTGATCGAAGTGCATGCTCTGGTCTTTAGGGGTGAGAGAGTGATATGGGGGTGAAGAACGTGTCTTTTGGCACAAAGAGTGAAGAATGGCGTTTCTTATTACAGATAGATAAATGGTCCTGTCTATATTGAAGGTGCACTGTATAACTTGTCCAGTGGAGGGTCTGTCACCTGTTTGCACTGTTGGGCAAGTTACTTTAAAACTATAATGTCTTATTTATGACTTGTTACTGTCATTTCAAAGTAATTTGTTACATTACAGCATTACTGTATTTAAAATGTAAGACATTACATGACTATTGCAGCACTTTAAGTTACTCTCACCAAAATAACTGTCAAATAATAATCAGCGAGTGAAGATGCCGAAATTTTACGCCGTGAACCAGGACTTAACCGAGGACTGAACCAGAAGGACTGAACCAGGACTAAACTAGGTCTATACGGGTGCACCTCTGAGCCTGTCCTGAAAACTCGGAACTGCATCAATGGCATCTCACTGCTGCTGATATTGCGGTGATTTTAGCAAATTTGTATAAAGAAATCCAGGTTAAAAAAACACGCGTTACTGACATTTGTACCGAGTGAAATATTTAATTTTTTTCCCCTGTAATGCCTTAAATTACTGCGTTACAACAAAAAACAACGCATTACAATAATTTGTTACTTTTATAGCATGTTACTCCCAACACTGCCTGCTTGTCTCCACTTGTCTAGAATGTTCCACAGTATAGCCATGAACTTAAGAATCTCCATGGAGACTTGCAAGCCAAAGTACTGGTTAGATTTGTGGAGCGGCGACTCCACTCACAGTGAGAATTAACGTTGTTTAAGATCATACTTCGTAGCAGTTGAATAAATGCAGACACATCAGTTAATGCCATACTGTAGATATTTAAACCAACGCATTAACGTCTCCATGGAGACAAACTGGTTGCGGACCTTCCAGAAAAGTTGCACAGTGTACCTTTAATGGATGAAGTGAGAGAGTGATGAGATAGGCGGATGAAGTGAAGTGTGGAGTTTTTGGTCTTTAAACCTTTGGCTTTAGGGGTGAAGGAAGTGCTCTACGACCTAAATGGATCATCTTGGACCTTCAGGTTTAAGGGAGGGATATCAGTCCACAGGGGTAATGGCAGTGTCTTCAGTCATTAGGGGTAAAATAAGTGTCCAGGGTTTAGTGTTTTAGACTTTGGTGGTGATTGGAGTATGAGAGTAGTATCAGTGATAATTTTTAGTTATGGGACGAGATAATTTACACAAGACAAGACAAGATATGACTGGGTCCACAAGAATGAGACAAGACGAGATTCCTAATATATAAATTTCACGATTCAGTTTCAAATTTTGGCCTCACAATTTTACATTTATTTAATTTCATACTTTTGTTTCCATTCTAGTACTGCCTTTTGAAATTGCTAAAGAGATGTAACTCACCAACTCATGAGACTTTTTTTGTCCAATCCAAATGCAAACATTTCTCACAAGATAATTGCATAATCGCAATTTTGTCTCATGAGATCTTGTGGCACGAGATCTTGTACCATCCCTAGTCATTATAGTTCAAGGGAGTGTCTGTAAGTCTGAATCTGACAACTTTTTTAGTCAAGGGAGTCTACTTGGTCTTAAAGGAACTGTATGTAAGATTTAGATTTTAAATTCCATAAACATGACTTAATACGTTGTCCCCAGATATGAGGTACAGCCTACATGTTCAAATCAAATATAGGTTTTACTGATGACTGCTGCAATGCTGATTTGTTAGTTACAAAAACACTGGACCTAATCCGCCCATTTATTCATGATACTTTGGTGTTTTGGTTCTCAAGATGATTATCCAACCAGAAAGCAGTCTCTCAGTCTCATACAGGTTGCTCATTAAATGCTCAAATGGACACAACCTAAACCCCAGAACCTGTAGCCAATCATGAATCAGTATTAGTGCAGCCTTTGCAGATCAGGGAGTGAATTCTGGAGGTTCTGAGCTTTCACATGAGGCATGACCTGTCCTTATACTGAGAATAAGACAAACTTGTATGTGTCCTCGATCTGCAGGTTAAGACACGGGTTCAGTTGTGATTGTAATACTTTTAAAAAATGGTAAAACTAGTGTTAAGAGGTGAGGGGGGTGGCCTTGATTTTTAAGTGTCACTCAGTCAATCAAACTTTCTTTATAAAGTGTATATACATGCTGTGTCCAGGGATTTTTTTGGCGAATGGAGTGTAATTAGTGGTCAGGGGAGTGTGCTGGGTCTGTCAAGGAGTGTTGGAGACTTGTAGAGACACTTTTTAAAAATATTCCCTCCAGTCCTTGTATTTGCAGAGGTCACTGGTGCTAGGCTAGTGCATGTCAATGGCCAAAGTTATCCTGCCACTAAAAACAGTCTTACCCACTCCACAAAACACTCAAAACAAATCTATTATTACGCCAGACTGTTGATGTGAATGTCTGTGTTGATACAATAATGTTTGAAATAAAACTAACCTTGCAACGCATGAATCGTCGCATGTTTCTAAGCAGCAGCAGAATTTTACTTTGTCGGTAAGGTAGGTGCTAGGTGATATCAGTCCACCACTGCCAAGCTTTCTATCAGGAATTACAACTCGCTGCTGCTGCTCAGACATAAATCCTTAAAATGCAAGGTTGGTTTTACTTCTAAAAGTAAAACCAACCTCGACAGTCTGGCATAATAATAGATTTACTTCAGGTGCTTTGTGGAGTGAGTAAGACTGTTTTCAGTGGCAGGCTAAAATGTTTCCACACGTCTCCAACACTGTGGCTCACTATGAAATAAGATCCTATGTCCAAAATTACGGATTGTCCCTTTAAGGAAAGTTTGTCTTAGTACACCCTAGTAGGCCAACAGGGATCAAGGGAGTGTCTTGGTCATTAGAGGTCAGGGTAGTGTCCTGAGATTAAGTGTGTATAAACATGGATGTACTGTACTTGGACTTTTATTGTGAAAGGGGTGTCCTAGCCTGGCATAAACAGATGCCTCTGAGTCTTTGGGGAAGTCTCATTGGTAGTTAGAGTTTAGAGTGTGTAAAAACATGGATGTACTTGTCCTTGGATATTCGTTGTGGAGGGGCTAGGCTTTAAGGGAGTGCTTTTGTTCGTAGGGGTTGTGTCATTGCAGGGTGAGGTACCTGACGAGGCTGGGGTCAGGGTTATAGTTGGGGGGCGGGCTGCAGTGGGACACTATGCTCTGACTGCCATGTCCTCCATTCATGTCTCCATTGGTTTGCATGTGGTGGCTGTTGAGCATACCCGCACCTGAGGGAATGGACAAACAAAAAGCTGTCAGCCGAAAATACTCATCTAAGTCATCAGTACATTCAGTTACAGTTACATTCTTTCCTTTGCATTAGCTATGTTTTCCTTTCTTTTACTTGTATGGGGTAATAACTGCTATTAGGTAACATATTTAGATCACCATGTTAGCTTTTATTGTTTTGAAAATGCTATATTTGCAGAAAACAACGGACTGACATGTTTTATAACTTTCACTTTCATTTTTGACAATCTGAGTATACAGCTGAAGTAGTCAAATATATCAGTATCAGTTAAATATTGATTTTACTAGTCAGTCACAAAGCTTGTCTTGTGATGACAATGAAAAACAAAAAAAACTTGTGCGTGTTGAAAGTCAAACATAAGATAAAATATAAGACAACTATGGACAGTTGATGAAGAATTAGGCAAGTTTTTAGAAAGTTTGTGGCAAGGAGGATTTTTAACTACAAACCAAAAATCACATTGGGGGTGTGCAAAAAAATGTTAACACTTATTAAAAAAAATAAATAAAAAACATTTAACAGCAGATGGAATAAAACCCAATCCAATCATTACAGAATATGAACACAAATATTATTACATATTACATTATTTTTGTCATATTTAGATCATACATTGCTCTGTTTGTTTTTATATCAAGATTCATATTGATTTAAAATGCATTTATAGTGTTCAGAGTAAGTCAATGTCAATCAACTAACAAGATAATAAAGATTTAAAGAGAGTGCATAAGCCAAATGAAGCTCATCGAGACTGTGTAGTAATAGTAATAGTGCACGTTATAATGTATGCATAGACATTAGGACTTCAGCTAATGACGTAACATAAAAAAAAAAAACCAAAAAAAACAACAACTTGTATTGAGTTGTTGTGCATTCTGACTCAGCGTTTGCGCTTGTGGGTTGTACCAATCAGATAACTGTGTGGTGGGGAAGTGTGTGGAGACCAGAGGTTCATTTCACTCTTATCTGTCGTGTTCATGTTTTTGTGGACAATGACAGTGGACAATAGTGGTTGTGGATAATATTCAGCGCTGAAAGACTGAAAGACTGTGTATGGTTTTTCTGATATTTTACCGATAGTCGTATTGTAAATATGAAAGACTGAAGGCCGAGGTTCTAAGGGCATGGTTCGCCACTGGTAAAGCGAATAATTTTAACATTTTAAGACCAAAATGAGGAGTCTGACAGGAGCAGTTATAGAAAGAGGGGCAACGGTTTTTCAATAGAAAGTGAATTCATGTCAGTGGAGCTGAAAATGCTCCCTTGCTCACTTCCTATATGGAAAGCGATGGCTAGCTATGTTTGATTATATACACAGTCTATGAATTTAAATCAATTCTAAACCTAGTAAATTATATGATAAAATGAAATGGTTTTGTTTTTCTCACTCTTCAGTCTGTTTATTGAGTCAGTTCTAGTCTGAAGTTCAGAACAGATGCATTATTAGTTATTATTATTAGCATACAAGTATAGTTAGAAAAATAATATCTGTGTCACTCACCCATGTGCGCGTTCTGTTGGGACTGTCCCACCATCTGAGAGACCGAAGGGGCTTTGTTCATGCCTCCATGGAGCTTGTTCATGTTGGACATAGGAGAGTAAGACGAAGGGGACGCTATGTTGTTCCTGTAGCAAAGAAACAACACATGATTTAAGATGAGAGAAAACAAAGAAAAATGCACAAATCCTGATGTGTGCCATGATTAGGCTAAGCATTTACAGTAAACAACATGTAAGATGCAAGAAACTACTAGGGCTGTAGGCCATTAATTGTTCAGTCAGTTTGTGCAAATCTACAGTTGGTTGTACTCACGGTCTCTGGATGAGCTGCTGCTGCGTCTGCTGTCTGTAGGACTCCACCAAAGGCTGAGGTACCAGCTCCATCAGCTCCAGACTTTCCTTGATCTTATTCAGGAGCTCAAAGTTCTCACGCCCGCGCACCTGGACACCACGGAAATGCAAGGTATGGTTAAAGAATTGAAGTAGGAGTGGAGTCAAAAACGAACATGCCAGTTTACACATAAAAAGGGAGAAAAAACAACATAAAGGATTGAAAAAGAACACAGATTTTCTCAGAATTAATACTCAAAGCACCAAACTATTAGCCTGAGTCATCAGCCAGTTTCACTTCATGGAAACCATCTGACCTCGCAGCATTACGATTCGGTCGCTCGACGGTAGGCGGGTACTTTTTAAAAATTTAACCAGTAGCTGCTATTTGGTTGTGACGTATGTAATGCACCGCTAGCGGGGCTAACTGGTATCTTAAGCTTTTCCCAAGAAGGACAATAACGTCTTTCCCCTTGATAAAATACACCAAACATTCTCTTTGTTTCAGCTTTAAATCCTCTATCTCGGGAATTGTTGCCAACACAGAATGTATGGCTCTTAGCTGACTGGCTCATGCCTGGACTCGCACTTCTAGGGTTCTTGCAAACCGTCTAGTGTATTCTGATTCCTGACCTAGTCACTGGAGATAAATGAAATTGAGCAGTGACACAAGGTGGCACCAGCCTGCCTACCAAAACTATGACTTATCTTAGGCAAAAGAAGTTTTTATGTTACAAGAATTTTGGAGAGGAGGTGTCTTCTGCATTTGAGAGACTTGTGCTACAAATTAGCAGCTGTGGTTGGATCATCTCAAGGTTAAAGTCTTTTCATGCTCTATTGTCCAGTTGTAGACCCTTTTGGATTCGAACAGAAGGTAGAAGCGACTGGCTAGTCAGGCAACCACATCTCAAAGCATCTTGTAGGCCCACCACCCTGTTTATGGGGTCTGAAGCTAACACTCTTGAAAGCATGGTTTTATAAGGTCAGTCTTGTAGTTGGATTGTTGTTCTCTATGTATGCTAAAAGTCGCAGGCAGCTCTGAGTGGACCTACTGTATATTTGTGTTTAACTTAAACAGACGTAACTGAACGGTGCACTCTCCAGCAATGCCAGAGTCTGACGAGGACCCCCATGTCTCTCTTCACTGTTACATTCCTAAAATATGTCTGCTGTCTCCTATATTCGTATAGGCATGCCCATTTACTCTTATCAGCATAAAGGTATATATGCGTGTCGTCTCTTATGACTGCCTTATGTGAATCTTAGCATGTGAAGTGGAACATCCTGATCAGTAAACTTCTAAACAAGCATCTGCTCACTTGGGCCTGATGTCAATTATTTAGGTGTTTAACGTCAACAACCATCTCCTGATAACGACTCTCCAAACAGATCCAGACTTAGGCTACGTTTATATGATGATGGTCTGAACAGAAGACGTAAAAGTGGCGTCGCGTCTTCACTTTTTATTCCGCATTTAGATGACGCAAAAGTGTGTGGAATTCAGTTGGGTATGCATGCCAGGCACCTCGGTGGCGATGTATGTGACGTAAACGTGTAGGTGATGTGAGCAGATCTGACCAGAGTTTTGCGCCTTGGGCAGTGTAGACAGAAACGCTACGGCGGTACGGTATTCAACTTTTCCACTCTGGAGGGTGGTTTCAAATTTTTGCATTTTTAAGCCCCAAAAATACCGTCACCATCTCAACGAAAGGCACTTCCCATAAAATATATTGTTGTTTTTACCCCCCAAGTGTTCTCGTGTAAACAGGCCCTACATAGTATGATCGGACAAGAGAGAGAACAGACCCAAGCAAAAACAAGATGGCAAAAATGATTAACAGCTGCTTTCCAGAGTAGATAACTTAAATGTCGAGCTAACATGTGCAACGAAAACAAAGTACACATGAGTAGTAGTAGAAATAGTCTTACTGGAATATAGTAAATCTCCTCTTCACCGTGCCGCCTCTTCCTCATATTAATGTTTGGACTGGGAATACTCGACGGGCTCTGTTTAAAATCTGTGAACATGAGAATATAACATGATATTTTTATTTTCTATACAGTGTGGCTCAGTCATCCACAAATACAGAGGTTAGTTTATCAGTCCATGCTGTACTTTACATTATTCTATTGCAGAGATATAAAACGAATCATTTTGGGCATTCTGAAACACATTTGTTCATCTTTTTAAGGAACCTCTCTCCAGGCATCTTCGGTATTTGCAGATATTCATGCCCAAATATTGTAATTGCTCTGCACTACCAGTCAAAATTTTAGACACACTTTTTTATTTTCTTCTTTACTTCTGTGATTATTTACATTATAGATTTTCACTGAAGGCATCAGAACTATAAATGAACAGATATGGAATGTTAAAAAATAAATAACTAAAAATGCATAAAAAATGTATTAAAATAAAAAATAACATAATTAATAAAAAAAATTTAATGTTATTTTACTTTTTTCTTTGCTACATAATTCCAAATATCTTGCTTCATATGCTTTATTATGCCTTGGGTATGTATATAAAATGTTTAAAGTAGTAAACGTATAAAAAAAAAAAAAAAAAACAAAAAAACATGTACAAACTTTTGACAGTTAGTGTAGTTACAAAAAATATGATGTCAAATTGTAGACATAAGTTACTACACTAGTGAAATGTCAGTGCATGTTTAGGATATAGATATTTGTTGGCGTACTGCGTTTGTTGGCGCTGCCGTTCTTGTTGGCGCTCTCAGTGAGGGCCTGCTGCTCCCTGTAGTGGTCCTCGTCGGCTTTACGGTCACGCCCAGGACACGCACAGATCCGCCCCTCAAAAGACCTCCTGCCCAGCACCTGACCACTGCATACACACCAACACACATAAACATGCACAAACACGCACACGAGCACACACAAACACACACACAGGACAAACAGGCATATAAGAGGTGTATAAGGAAGGGTGGAACCTAAATAATTACAAATACTTGCACACTTTCTGACTAGATTTTTAAACATGTACTTAAACTGTAATTAAAGCCATAGTATGTAACGTTTTAGCCATGTTTTTTCTTTATGGGTGTTTTTTATTGCATTGCATTGAAAATCCTTATTGTGAGTGGGTTTGCATAAACAAACACAAGTCTGGCTCTTATTATACTGTTAAATGTTGTTCTTTTGACTATAATCTTCTACACAATGGCATAAAGCATATCTATCTCCATGGAAAATGTTCCGAAATATGTCTTTTTATGTTCATGGAATCTTGCCAGCCTCAGTATTGAGTTAAATTCCCAGATTTGATCATTTAGTGATCTTGCTCTTCACCCCCAAATCAAGCTACGTTGTTCAGTCTGTTATAGCGTATGGGCCAAAAAAGTAATTTAGTAAGTAAGTCTGTTACTGCTGATCACAGAACATGAATGGACATAGTGCATCATGACAGTGGTCTTCAGCGGTCTTACTCTCTGCTCTCCAAAGTGATGATGATGAGGATGGGTCTCCGGTTCATGCCGCCCACACAGCTGCTGTTGCACATGAAGTTGTACAGAATCGTGGTGAACTCTGTCCCCACCTGAAACACATGGGGGCATCACAACATGTCAGTATACTCTTTGTATGTAGACAGTTTACCTTAATCTTATGGGTCTAAAAGTGAGTGCATGATTTATGGATGTTGTGTTGGACATCATTTAATTTTTTATTATTATTTTTAAGTCACATTTTGTCACTTTGATGCCTATTTTTCGCCCAACAGATGAACTCACTTGAATGCTTCTGGAATATGCATAATTCTGGGGTTCCACCTTTGTTTCACCAGTAGAGAGCGCCATTTCCTCTGTCATGTTTCATTTTCAAACTGTGCCATGGGCTGTCATTCAGTACATAACTCTGACTGAATTTAAAGGGACAGTATATAAGCTTTTTAGAACTTTTATAAGAGGTGGGCATGTTCAAACCAGCTCATCTGAAATCTAGTTGGTTTAAACCTAAAATGTTTCTCTCTGATCTGAATTGTCACTCTCTAAAACCCAGCACCTGCAGCCAACCATGTTTCAGTGCTAGTGCAGCCTCTGCAGCTCAGTGAAGGAATTCTGGAGGTTCTGAGCTTTCACATGAGCTTGTCCATAAACTGAGAATGAGAAACACTTGTATTTGATCTCTATCTGCAGGTTAAGGCTCTGGCAACACAGGTTTAGATGTGATTGCAATACCATTTTAAAACAGGAAAAGTTCAGGCTACATAAGGTTCCTTCAAAGGTGTTAATGCTTTGCCAGGAATGGTCCATGGTATGACAGTAAACATATCCATCTAGAATTTATTCATTACAGGTGACAGCCCCTCCACTAGAAATGTTACACTGCAAGGATTAATTAACCAACCTTTTTTCAACAGATATTTGACCAAAGAATTTGTTTTTTTTTTCTTTCTGTATTTTGTTGGCAGATTTGTTGTGTTTCTGACCTGTGGAGCCTCGTAGGGCACGCAGACGCTCTGGCGGCCGGTCACTGGGTCATCCACGTACTGACTCAGGTTGTTCCCCTCCACACGGATCAGGTGAGAGGCTGGAGCTGTCTGACCTGAGGGGAGAAAAAGTGCATTTGATACATGTGCAAGTGCAAGATGTATGCAAACAATAAATAAATATACACACAAACCAGAACCTGTATAAAGAAGTGGACAAAGGGAGTGTGACTTAGGCGAGTTCCATATTAGGAATTTATTTACGAACACTCAGACAGTAGCCAAATAAAAACATCAGGATCATGTAGAGTGGATTAATGCAAACATTTTAAGATAGGCTAACCAGATTTTCAAAATCAAAAACTGGGACACACCCAATTTGGGGTGGTTGGTGCATAATTAAGGAAAATTGTTATGTGTTCGTTCCATTAATGACTTCTTCATGACTAACATGTGAGTCAGTATAGTCACATTTTCTTTATAGTTTGATCATTTTTAAGCAGCTTTTCTGTATTTTACCTAAACAAGTGACAATTGGCAGGGATCAAACTGGTTCAAACTAGAGACACTAGGGACATTTCTTAAATGAAACTGGGACAAATCAGTGGTTTTGTTTAAATCTGCTGGGACAGGGGACACAGGGCTCAAACTGGGACTGTCCCGGGTAAATAGGGGCGTCTGGTCACCCTATTTTAAGACCAAAATGGGAAGGCTCACAGCAGCAGTGAGAGATGCGCAACAATTTAATGTAAATCAGAGTTGATGGAGCCGGAAGCGCCCCCATGAACACTTCCTTTCTGGTACGCAGCAGCTTGTAGGTTAGCGCTGTCCATTTTTTTTTTTATACAGTCTATGACACACACACAAATAAGTAAATATATACAGTTAAAAAAGTAATCTCACTCATCTGCTTGTATCCATGGAGATGATATTACTTTGCTTGGAATGTTCCACAATATGGCAATAACCTGAACAGTACTCATATAGTATATAAGTCGGTGATGCCTCCAAGCCAAAGTTACAGGTCAGATCAGTGGAGAGACCACCAGAGAACATGTTTTTCAAGGTATTTTTAAAGCATTAAATCCACATGTAATTGAATAAATGCTATATAGACATGCAAACCATGCACATCCTGTTTATCAAACAATAAAACACTTTATATTTAGATGCAGACAGAACACAGCAGACTTGTTTTGACCTCAAAAGCTGCTCATATAATACATCTGTTCTTGGGCAAGGCAAATTTAGCTCAAATATTTAGACAAAAATCAAAACTAAAAGGTCTTTTAAGTGAACTGGCCAATGTCATGAGTGTACCCTTTCTGAAGCCAAAAGTTTAATATTAAAGTTACAGTGGTAGTACTGGTCATAGTAATCATAGTATTAGTAGTATTAGTAATGTTAGTAGTAGTAGTAGTAGCAGTAGTAATAGTATTTTTATTTATTTTTTTAGAGACAGTACAAGCAATAAAAGACATTTGACTTGAGGGGACAGGAAATGCAAGGTTTGAAGATGGTGATGAGACCATAAGAAGCATTTTTATTTTTTTTTTTTTTTGCTCATACCGTCGTTGAAATCCCGGCCCAGCTCATGGTTGGGGCAGCGTTTGACCACCTCGGTGACGTGCTCCGCCTTCTTGTACACGGGCATGGCTCTGATGATGCTGCCGGGGGGCGGGGCCGAAGACAGTTTTATCTGGATGGGACAGGTCTTAGCGATCTGACAGTAGAGCTTCTTCAGCAGAGGGGAATACTGGAGGGAGAACATGAAAATGAAAATTAACTTTCAAACAAAAAAAGTAACTACAAGTAATAGGAGGATATGTTAAGACGTTACGATTGTGCTGAAATGTGTTCTAAATATATGTGTATAGTGGAATATTTATGCACACATTAACACTGCCAAAGAGGTTTTGAGATGAGAGAGATTAGAGAAAATGCAAAATTGATTAATACACATTTTCAGAAGCCTGTGATCAGTGCGAGCATTCATGGTCCTGTTTAGGCGTTTGATTTGCAACAAAGAGGTGAAAGTGACTAACTGAAAAACTGTCGTGATGTTATTCGGCAGGGACTTGTTTAACAGCTCAAATCATCTCACCTGTAATTCCAGCTAAGTATGTTTTTCTCTGGTCAGACTGTGTTAAATAAACCTCAGATTAACGTCTAACAAAGCCTCAGACAGAGCATGTCCACAGATAGCACAACACTCCCAGGGAATATTGATGACATACTGTATTTACAAGACCATGATGAACACATTGGGGACTAAGGCTGTATATCGTTAAGAAGTTGCCGATACGATACATACCTCAATACATAGGTCACAACACGATATATATGTCGATACAGTGCACTTTTGATTTTATATGATATATTTCAAATCGATTCGATGCAGTTCAGTAAACATAAAGGCTAAATCATGGCTGTGATACCAAGGTTACATTTACAAAATGAATCACTGTATTACCGTATTGAAAACGATTTGCTTCTAGACACGTCGTTTCTGTGTCTGCGATCAAAACCTTCCCTATCCACACAGTAACATGAAACTGCCTGAAACACTAGTCACATGACTGGGCTGGCATCATGTTGTCACAACGTCAAAACGTTTCGTGGGCAATAAAAACAAGGAAGTGAAGCACCGTGTCTGAAGTTGCAGCAGCCGATTACGAACTGAGGAAGATGACAAGCGTGAAAACAGTCTTTTCGTGGTCCGATAATGAGGTTCAGTTGTAACTGAATGTAACACTGGATTTCAAGATGAGCATGGTGGCTCAGAGTGTGGACTGGGAATCTGTGCATGTAGTTTTGGCTATGGTTTGTTTAAACAGTTTTCTGCAATAGCGCAACATGTCCGATGTCACAAACCCAGTGAATCAGGAAGGCGAAAGTCACAGTGACGTGGTCCAATAAGGACACAACTAGAGCTCCTACATCAGCATATCAACGTTTTCAGGTGTCCACACAGTGCCGATTCAGATCCGTACTCAGATTAATTCATGGGCAGTGGTGGCACCAGATCGTTCTGTCTCTGGAGCCGTTTTCCATCGGATTAGTGTGGACGAACACTGCATCCACCACAAAAATGACTTGAATACATACTGGTGTGGATGGGGCCTAAAACTCTTTGTTACACCACTTCTTGTGCAAAGTTAATATGAAAAACACCCATTTTAATCCTCAAAACAGTGAAAATGTTAAATATGTCGCATAAATGATTCCTTCCTCTAAACAAGCAACAAAACTGTAGCTTTGTAACAAAATAATTTAGTAAAATACACACACATATACAAAAAAACAACAACTCTTGGCCATATATCCATACAGCATCCCACAATACTGATACTCTATCATTACATTAAATTATATGATATATCAACATTTTGATATTTGCACATCCTGAGGGACAAAGTATGACATTGTTGGACTTGAACCAGCCACTCTCTGGTTAGCGGGCCAACTCAGCCAGTAATGCCCTATTCCGGCCAAAGACATATTAACCAAAAACAACATAAGAAATTGTGGTGGGACCAGACACAGTTTCCACAGTACGACACGAGAGACGAGACTGGACATACGCGAAAGAAACAAGACGAGATTTTGACACCATTTTGAATTTACTTTATTTAATATTTTTGCTGTCATTGTAGCAGAGCTTTGGGGACTACAGCTTCTCAAAAAATGTAACTCACCAGTGCTTAATTAAATTTTTTTATCCAATCCAAACATAAAACATGGGGAAAACAGTCTCACAAGATAATTTTCAGCATGTGCACACAATCTTGTGGCAGTTTTATCTTGCGAGATTTTGTGGCACGAGATCTTGTACCATTCATAATAAGAAAATAAGGAGAAAATAGCCATTGCAATAATTCAACTGGTGAAGCATACACTCTCTCAGTTATCATATTTCAATATTGTCCTTTTGAAATAGCTTTTACACATGTGCACTTCTCCAGGTGTGTGCTCTGTATGAACGAGAATAGGTGCTGAGACGCATTCAAAGACAGTAGGACAAGAGAAGAGCCGTCTCAACTTGTCCTGACACAATTACGAATTCTCCAAAAATCTTCAGAGCAGTATAATCAAAGTGGGATTTTCAGGAACAGTAGGCGCCCTGTGCGGACTTGTATAATGAGATCTGGACTCAAAATCGGAATTATTCATGTACTTTGTGAGATATTTTAAATGGGAAGTAGGCTTGTCCAAAGTTTTGTGAATCAGATCCCAAACGCTACTAAAACTGATTTCGAAACTAGTATCGATACTGCAAAAAAATCACATTAACAGGAGATACTTTGAGCTTTCCTGAACCGCTTTAGTGTAATTTTGAGCTTTATCTGAACCTCATGGCAACATAAAGAAAGTACATTTGCGTTGTGTTGAAAATTTGATTCTATTAGGCTCTATTTTCATCTCTTTAATGCCACCTTTCACTACCTTTCTTATTTCTTTTGTTTGCCTTTGTAAAGCATCTTTGAGTATCTTTAAAAGCGCTATACAAGTGTTATGTATTATTATTATTTTCATTCTGGTATCATAATCCGTATTGAGTACTGAGTCATTTCCTTAGTATCAAAATCAAGTCTGAAATTTTAGTAATACTAGTATTTAAGTAGTATCGCAACACTAATGAGGAGTATGATAAAATGTTGTACTGATTCAAAATTATATCACCAATTGCAATTTATGCTGGGAAAAAATGTAGCTGGTTCTTATTTTGTTCAAACTCAAACTGAATTATACTTTTAATTCATTAGGCGGGTCTCAAGATTTCACAAAAAGAGTCAGTAATTCCAAGTTTGTGGTGATGTGAGACATCGCTAAAGCCAGAGTAAACACAAAACTGCTTATGGTTAATAGTCAGCCTTTTCTGCATTTATCTCACTTTGGCTCATGTTACATTCATTATTATTATGTTTGGACACTTTTTCTCCAGTTTATTTTTATTCTCTATTGTCTATTATTGTCTACTTTTGAATATTTAGAAAGTACCCGTGAATTCTACAACTTTAAAAAGCGCTCACCATGGTCTTTCTTTTGTTACTTTGTTTTTTTTGTGGGTGGCATGGGTTAAGTTTTTGTTTTTTTGTTTTTTCTCCCCAAATGAACCAACAAAACTTAAGGATCAGTTAATCAAGAATAACAAAAAGTCAAAAAGTAATACAATTATTTAACCCTTAACTTTGTTCCCTGTGTCCTGTGAAAATACAGTAATTACAATCATACAATTATGCACTGGAAATGTAATATTTTCAAAAATTGTTGTGCATCGATAAAAAAGGAAACTGGAAATGCAGAGGTTTATCACAGGAAAACTATAATTTTATCTTTATTTCAGATTTTTGGCATGTAAAATGTGCACGTTGCAACTTTTTGGTGGGGGTTATTGTTATTGCTTTGCCTGGAATGTTCCTCACTGTGGCATTAAATGTAATCATCTTGTGTTTAATCAGTTGCAGGTGTATTTATTTGCTGAGAAAGTCTTGAAACACATGAATTCTTACTGTCAGTGGGGTCGTCGCTTCACAGATCTGGCTTTTACCTGTAAGTACCGGTAAGGTTTTTTTTTTTCCTTCTGTAACTTTTATTTTGTTCTTTTATAACTTGGCCTTGAGGCGTAACCTGCTTGTTTCTTTGGTGATCTTTAATGTCATACTGTGGAACATTCCAGGCACAGCAATAACATCTTCGTCAAAACAAGCAGGTGACAGACTCTCCTCCGGCAAAGTTACAGAGTGCACCTTTAACTCAAAGCGATCAGGAAGCCAATGTCAGACCGGTTTGGAAGTTACTACCCCCCAGGTTCCACTCAAACGGGTCAGTGCAGTTCACTTTAGGCAGTAGAAACACTTTTGGACCATACAGGACCTAATCCAAACTTGGAATTTGACTTTTACTGATGAATTATCCAAATTCAAACAATGGTGACTCAAATTTGAACAACTTGACTTAGTTTAGATGATAACCACTCAACTCTGATTTTTATTTTTTTACTTAACTTAACTAATAACTAACTAACTTTACTGACCTAACTAATTTCAGACAGAGACAAAGAGATGTGGACTTGGATATGGCACTTGGGGTCCTGAGTAGGGCTGGGTATCATTAAGAAGTTGCCAATACGATACATACCTTGATACAGAGGCCACGATATGATACGTGTCTTGATATAGTGCACTTTTGATTCGATACAATATATTTCAAATGATTCAGTACAGTTCAGTAAAAAATAAAGGCGAAATCATGGCTGTGATACTAAAAGTCTTTGTTAAACCACTTTTTGTGCAAAGAGAAGATAAAAACAGTGAAAATGTTAAATGTGTCACATAAACAAGTTTTATTTTTCTAAACAAGCAACAATATTGTAGCGCTTTAACAAAATAATTTAGAAAAAATATACCAAAATACTCTTGGAGGTATATCAATACAGCAGCCCATGATACTGAATACTGTATCATCACATTAAACAATACAATATATTGATTTATCGAAATTTTTGCACACCCCTAGTCCTGAGAGCTTGACTCGGACTCAACTTAAACATTAAAGTGGACCTATTGTACAAAGATTTTCAGAGCTTTTAACCGTATTATAGTTGTTTCCCTTTACATTTACCTCTTAAAATTGTCTTCTTTACACTCCTGTATTCCAGACATCATTGCTCCAATCAACCGCCATTTTTATGCGACTACAACTTCCAGTGGGCTCTGTTCGCGGTAGTAAGTCTAACAAAATCTAGGAAAAATG